CTCCAGGAAGTTCAGGAACATGGTAGAAAAACACTGTTCTAAATTGTATTATATTTAAATGAAATCAAAGAGGGAATTTCAATACCTTTTAAGAACTTAAGACTCTTTCCATACATCTTAAGAAGTCATCATTATTTTACTGTAAGTTTCAACCGGTAATGACATTTGAACTTACAGTATATTTACTAAATACTGATTGTAAGAAACTAATCTTAAACTAAAACATTATATATACACTGAATTGAAACGCTAATCCAGCAGGAGACACCTACTGACCAGCAGAAATAACCTTGGTTACTGAAGAAAGTAAAACAATGTGATGTCTAATAGAGCAGGATTTGATCAGTTTCATAAACTATCCCCATATTAGCATCCCAATATTCAGATTAAATTCAGGCAAGCTTTAGCATACAACTATACTTTGCATAATCAAAAACGATACAAAATGGACAATACAAAAAAAACCTTTTAAAATAGATCAAATTTAATATTTTAAGGGCTTTTAATTTCTCTATCTAGACTTTTAATACTTTTTAAAACCCTGTGGACACCCTGTTCATTTTTATTATTGTTATATATTTAAATCTATTTTATATTTTTTTTTATACTGGCTGCTAACAAATGGGTAAAGCCCACTGAGATGCTTAAATATAGTGATTTAATATGTCATCAGATAGTTCTTGTTTACAAGATTTTTGATTTATAATCTATGAAAGATCTGTAAACCTTCCTTTGGTAGAAATATTGACAATGCATGCAACTAGTATTATTTGCTAAAATATTTGTCAGAATATTTATGAATATTTTAATGCTGTCTTGCCTTTTTTTGGTATGTAAATAATTTCAGTCTTAAATTTAATTATTCTGCTCAATCCATTTTTCCAAAATATGTGATAGAATTGACAGGCATTGCTGTTTCATATGAACATTCAAATGTTTGGTAATGTTGCACCAGGCAACAATTAAACAAATGGATAATTTCATAAATCACGAGAAAAGACTGAATTTACTGTAACAGTTCCAGCAGTTGATTGTAAGATTAACTGCCTGCCTAAACACAGCTGTGTTTCTTGGCGTGTCTCCTTTAAATCATCTGAGCACAGATCTCTGTACAAACTGTTTCGCAAACTGACAGAATAAATAAATGTGGCTAGTCTCTTAGGTGTTATATCAGGAAATATAAAGAAAAGAACATACGTGCATAAGTGGTAATGGAGCTCAGTTTGGCCTCATCGACATTAACAAACAGTGGTGATGAGGCATGGTCTACCACATTTGTGCTTCCCTGTGGTATGTAACCAGCTTTGCCCTAAAAGAAATGCAAGATGCTTTACTGTCATGACCTGTCACCGTAGTTACTATTCAGGGGGTAAAAAAAAAATACTGAAACCTGTAGTGAGATGTTGTAATTAGTCAGAGGCTCCATGCGATTTACATCCAGCTTCCAGAGCTCATTAAAAATATTCGAAAGCTCCTGGTTCACAGTTTGACTGAGAATGTAAGAGGAAAAGTTAATTGTATTAAATGTTGTTGTATAAATTGTACATAAAAAGCTTTCACATAAAGCATTCATATATATATATATATATATATATATATACACATATACACTCATCGGCCACTTTATTAGGTACACCTTTCCAACTGCTTGTAATGCAAATAGAAAGGCATGTAGACATGGTCAAGATGATCTGCTGCAGTTCAAACTGAGCATCAGAATGGGGAAGAAAGATGATTTAAGTGACCATGAACGTGGCATGATTGTTGGCGTCAGACTGGCTAGTCTGAGTATTTCAGAAACTGTTTATCTACAAACATTTTCAAGCACAACCTTCTCTAAGGTTTACAGAGAATGGCCTGAAAAAGAGAAAATATCCAGTGAGCGGCAGTTCTGTGGGAGCAACTACCTTGTTTATGCCAGAAGTCAGAGGAGAATGGCCAGACTGGTACGAGCTGACAGAAAAGCACCAGTAACTCAAATAACCACTCGTTTCAACCGAGGTATGCAGAAGAGCATCTCTGAATGCACAACATGTCCAACCTTGAGGTGGATGGGCTACAACAGCAGCAGCAGACCACACTGGGTGCCACCCCTGTCAACTAAGAGCAGGAAACTAAGACTACAATTCGCAGAGACTCACCAAAATTGGACAATAGATCGGAAAACATTGCCTGGTCTGATGAGTCTCGATTTCTGCTGCGACATTCGGATGGTAGGGTCAGAATTTGGTGTCAACAACATGAAAACATCAATCCATCCAGCCTTGTATCAATGGTTCAGGCTGGTGGTGGTGGTGTAATGGTGTGGGGGATATTTTCTTGCCACACTTTGGGGCCATTAGTACCAATTGAGCATCATGTCAACACCACAGCCTACTTGAGAATTGCTGCTGACCATGTCCATTCCCTTATTACCACGGTGTACCCATCTTCTGATGACTACATCCAGCAGGATAACGCGCCATGTCATAAAGCGCAAATCATCTCAGACTGGTTTCTTGAACATGACAATGAGTTCACTGTACTCAAATGGCCTCCACAGTCTCCAGATCGCAATCCAATAGAGCCCCTTGGGGATGTGATGGAATGGGAGATTCACATCATGGACAAATCTGCAGCAACTGCGTGATACTATCATGTCAATATGGACAAAAATCTCAGAGGAATTTTCCATTACCTTGATGAATTTATGCCACAAAGGATTAAGGCTGTTTTTAAGGTAAAAGTCCAACCTGTTACTAGTAAGGTGTACCTAATAAAGTGCCTAATATATGGGTACAATAATTTACCTTGATGCATCAGTGAGCGTAAACAGTGACAACAGCACAGGGATCCATCCAAAATCATATCTGTAACATGTAAACACACACACACACACACACACACACACACACACACACACACACACACACACAAGAATGTATACAAATTATGTCGTTAGAATTATATAAAGATGTAATTTAAGCGGACAAAAGTTAATCTCATCCTGGAATTTACAGTTTAGAGAAATGCTGTAAAAGTTAAGTTTGCATAGAGAATATACAAAATAAGTAAACAAAATAATTAACACCAATTTAGAAGGTTACAAAAGCAAGACAAATCTTAACCACGTCAAGCTTAATGCCCTTTGGTAAAAAAAAATAATGATAATAAAAACATTCTGCTTTTAAAACAAGTCAAAAGATTTCGTTGAAGAAAAAACAAGTTTTCCACATACCCACTGGCCATGGTGGTTGGTATAATGCGCGTGCACAGATGAACGCGAAGTATTTGTATGGTTTTTCCTCTTTTGTTTAAGGTCTTACACTAAAACTCACACAGTGAAGTGGCCCCTGGTGAAGCTCTCATGCCTGAATACACTCAAATACATTCACCGAGTCAATCCATCTCTGCCACAGCAGTAGAAAAGACTGAGGGATAGACGGGAAAAGCACTTCAAACTACAGCTTTGGGGGGCGGGGCATATTGGAAGTCGAGGAAGAGACTTTAACAAAGTTATTTTTAACTGGTTTATCGGATATTAATCATACAGAACTTTTCTAAAGCTGTGAGCTGCTATAATAAACAATATTAGGTATTGGTTTTGTTTTCCTGGTTATCCTTCTAGAGCTTTAGTTAGGTTTAGAAACCGGTGTCTCCATCTATCGCTTTCAGGCACGTTACAACAAACATGAAACGTTCTTCTAACGTTATATTTTAAAGAGACAAAAATAGTGCGTCCTGTTTAGGATTTATTTATTTTATTACAATCAGAAAACAACTTTAAACAACCTAAAAATAACTTAAAAAGAACGTAAAACAAGTCAATAAGCTTATGCAAACATAGTGTTAAACATAACACTGAACGTTTTCAACATTAAAATATTACTCTCTCAAGTACACGTTAGTTACAATTTAATAATATCTAGATTCATTTCTCTGAAACCAGTCATAGTAATATACCCCACAGGAAAAAAAGTACTTCATGGTAAATTCAGTTTTTGAACCAAGTTTTTGCACTCATTTGCTGTGATTCTTTAGTTGCTGAAGTAGTACAATAGCAATATTTATGTTTATCAACATTTTTTCAACAACTATTGTACTACAAATTTAGTGTAGTAAAAACTAAGATTATGGATGTAACAGATGTGAAATTGCCACTTGTGTGACTTTGGTAAATCAAATCAAATTGTTTGAAAACATTGACAAATATTTCAGATCTAAATATTTCAGTATGAAATATTAATATCAGTTAAGTAGTATTTCAATATCCTAGAACTATCCCAGGAAGAGTTTCGTTATTTTGGTAAAAACTTTTTTTCATGGTACAGTTGACATTTGCATGGAATTGTTCAAATGATGTAGACAGAATAAGACTTTTAGCATAATATGGTTCAGAAATACTACAGTATTTACTGTGAATCACCATAATATATTCTCCATGTGGTATCGGGTTAGAATTTGATAATTTTCCTAAAGGTTACATGGTAATATTCTCATTTTTATATCCATACTATTAGTCTGCAAAACCAGGTGGGCAATATGCTCTGACTCCATGCGCCCCCTATAGGAAGCCCACAAGAGTCAGCCATGAAAAACAGGATTTAATCAATTGATCGGTTTATTTCTAAAAACTGAAAGCATAAACTACACATAAAACACAATAAATATAGATATACTAATATATAAATAACTTTTTATAACTAATGCAAAAAAAGAGAAACTTCTGCAAACTGTCCAACAGATGGTGCTGTTTAACAAATTATGGACTGCTGCTTTTTTCTAATTTTGTAAATAAACATCAATATAAAATCCCCTTAAAATAAACCGTTTTAAACGCTTTCATTTCTTTGAAATGAAAATAATGGACAAATTACGTAAACTACCGCACTGCAGCTTTTATTTTGTATTTGTATTGTATATTATTACTAGTTATATAATACATCTGCTCAGCGCTTACTTTAATATATAGCACTAACTGTTGAACTAAGCGACACACAAATGCAACAAACAAAGCCAGCAAGTTTTTCATCTTTTATTCTCCTTTAAAAAAAACGAGTAAACGTCAACAAAGTACAAACATGTAACTCTGAAATGGTTATGAGTGGCACTATGTATTTATTTTAAATATAATTCCCAGCTGCTTACAATTTTGTGCTTATGCCAGTATTGCATTAAATATTGATGCTACATGATAGCATTTTCATAAATGAGAACGTTGCCATCCTTTAAGTACTGCAGCAGTGGAAAAATAAATCAGAATAAACGCTCATTAAAGTACAAATATTTTATCCAAACGAGCCTTAAATAACATGCAAACCTTTACAAACAAGATGTAAAATATTGTACAGAATTTTGCATGCAAATGCTTTAAGCATATGCATTAATTCTGCATATACTGGCTTAAGAAAAGAAAATGTACAAGTCAAAAACATCTAAACTTTTAACATCATGTTTAAGAATGCACCTGGATCCAACAGGTCAATGCTAGTATCAGTATTAGCAGTGTACAACTTTAACTTATCCATATAAAATATATCTTTGATTTTGACTGAAAGTGTCATTGTGCTCTTCTGCCACCATAACAACTGGCACAAACACCAATATATGTAACAACCTGTCACAGATTTATCCAGGAAGATGATTTAAAAATGACCAGCAAACTTCAGTAGGACTGCTATTCATTTTAAGAAAAAAAAAAAAAAAAAAAACAGCATAAAATAAACAAGACCACTAACAATCTGATAAAAAACAGGGCAGACATTCTTCAAACTCTCTTATTATTACAATGTTCTTAAAAGGCATATTGTAATGTAATAAATACTTTGAAATGGTGTTTCATGGAGCTGACGTGTATATTTGGCATTCATATGGAGGTGTTGGCACAGTCAGTTGGCATTAAAGCAGCGAGAGTGAGGGTCTCCTTCTCACACGTTGGAGTCGTCATCCTTCACGCTGGCATTGGGGAAGAAGAACTCGTCATCCTTCAGCATACTCTGAACACGAGACACGAGACACACACACACACACACACAGATCAGCTTGACTGTACATTAAGCAGCAGCAGAGGTTAGAGCAGATGCACAGTTGTTTGTTACCGTTAAGTTGTTGATGCCCTCAGAGAAAGCTCCAATCTGTCTCACTGTCCCTTCAGAGTCTTCCATCTGGGCCATAAAAAGGTGCAAAGATGAGCAAAAAGTTGCATAGGTATTATTAATTTATTTATTTACATGTTATTAACTGAATCTGCAGGTTAATTACATATAATAACTAAATAGTATTAGAAAATAATAACCGAACTTGCACAATAGGTCAAATGTTTGGACGTTTTTTTTTTTATTTATTTTGTATCTCTTACCGTACGTTCACACCGAAAGCGGCGAGAGCGTCCAAGGTCGCTCTGGCCGCCCTGGCGACAACGCTGTCTGCCTTCAGCTCCTGCGGCAAGAGCGTCAAAACTCGCTACATTGATCTCTTATTTAAAGGAGCCATTGCAGCATATCAGTTACATTCCTGCATAAAACATGTTTCTAGCGTGAAAATGTTGCGCACTTCTTATCAAATTCATACAACAATGGAAGATCCAGTTGCGTGTGGTGTGGCTTTGCTCTATTTATCCAATATGTGTCCATATGTCTGAAATATCCTGAAGCAGCAGTACTGTTTTGTACTGTCACATCGCGTGAGATTCCCGCTTTTTTAAGATAAATTTATATAACATTAATGAACATCAGTAACTCGCCAGTAACTTATTTAATGCATGTTCCTGTAGGAAAAGATTGTAAATAATTGGAAATCCGGCGACCGCAATAATCAAACCCTTGGGAACAACTGTGGTCGGAACCAAAGTTCACAGGTCTGTGTTCTCTGAACTGCTATCAAGCAATGGACGTCTTCATTCTGATTGCTTGCCGCCGAAACGCGTCATAGCTCATTACCATAAAGTTGACTTCATTTCAACTCTCCTCGACGCTCACGCCGGCAAAGACGCGCCGCGCTGCTCCTCGCCGCCGGCTCTCATTGAAAATAAATGACTTCCGGCTACTTTGACGCTCTCGCCGCTTTCGGTGTGAACGTACGGTTACACCAATCAAGATTATTTTTAATATTAGTATTGTGAAATTTCATTTATATATTTTTTTAAATTTCATTTTCTGTGTATTTTAAACTAATGATAAAATTTATTCTTGCAATATAATAATGAATCCGATTTTTAAACAGCCATTTTGTACATTTCAAATGAATCTAAAAATGTTTACTGTTGATAAAATGCGGAGTAAAAGTACTATACAAGTCTTTAAAGTCACTTTTCATGAGCTAATGCTTCAAGTAATGTCTACGTAATATGTGGTAAATCATAAGAAAAACAATGAAAGTTGAAATTTATTACAGCATATCATAAAACACACAACAATCTCTTTAGTTTTAATTTATTTTTATATCTATGTAAATAGATGATGCTTGCACAGCACTAATGATGGAAGGCCATGCTGTTGGCCAAGAAAAGAAGTAAAAACATCTAACCTCCATTCCAGTATACAGATATTTGTCAAACTAAGTTTAGATAATCTTGATAGTATTGCTAAATTAGTAATAGTAGGTAAAACTACTTCTATTGTAAAGCCACGATCACACTGCACTTTTCGCTCCATAGACTTCCATTCATAGGCATAAGCAGGCATGAGATGATAACTGTTATCCACGGTATACCACAATTTAGAAAAGTCAAGGTTTTAAAACTGCCAAAAATTTTCAGTAATACCGTTACTAAAGTATCTGTAAGATTTTTTTTATTTACTTTTTTTTAGGACAACAGTATCACCAGCAGAAAACATATGCAAAGATGGCGTTTTAAATGAGAGAAAACTTGTGTTAAAGGAAGTATTGAAGACAGCAGAGGTCAGCAATTCATTTGAATTATTTAGCCTGACATGTTCACTGCTGCAAAATATTAGAAATGTTTCTCAAAATATATATATATATATATATAAATTGTGTTAAATAGGAAAAATCTTTGTTGTTTTTTACTATAACTTATTTTAGAGCATTAATCATAATACGGTAATACAGTGATTATGTGATTGCGTTAGACCAATAGAAGATAATTTAAAATAAGAAATTTAAAATATGGAGCAATCGCACACTTTTATTAACGTCTAATGATATTGTTTAATACCCCCCCTTTTCACAGCGCCATAAGAATTTTGCAAGTACAAGCTCTAGTGTGTCTGCAGCTTTAGTCACTTTGGACAAAAAATGTCTGCTAAATGACTAGATGTAAAAGTAATTTCCATGATTTTTCCAAAACCTTGTGGGTTTTTCTGCTTTTCCAAAACTTTTCTAAGCCTGAAAAATTCCACGTCAAAGTTCCATGACTTTTCCAGGTTTTCCATGACCATATGAGCCCTGTAACAAAAACTGTGCAGACATTTCTTAAACTCTCTTATTATTACAATATTTTATGTTAAAAGTTTTGGCAATTATTGATCTCTTAAATGAAACTGATACAAAATAAAAATAAATAAAATATTACAATGGGGCCACAGAGTGGCTCAGTGGTTAGCACTGTCGCCTCGCAGCAAGAAGGTTGCTGGTTTGAGTCCCGGCTGGGTCAATTGGCATTTCTGTGTGGAGTCTGCATGTTCTCCCCATGTTGGCGTGGGTTTCCTCAGGGTGTTTTGGTTTTTCCCCCTAAGTCCAAAGACATGCGCTATAGGTGAGCTGAATAAACTAAATTGCCATAGTGTGCGTGTGTGAGTGTGTATAGATTTTCCCTAGTACTGAGTTGGAGCTGAAAGGGCATCCGCTGTCAAAAACATATGCTGGATAAGTAGGTGGTTCATTCCACTGTGGCGTCCCCAGATGAATAATGGGACTAAGCTGAAGGAAAACGAATGATGAAAATGTTACAACATTTTTACAGTAAATTTAGTAGACTGATCAATAGTTTATATTTTGTAATATTAAAACATTTCAAATATCATATAAAATTAAACAATATTCGGTATTGCATGTGTATTTTGCAGTATTAAATAATGTTAATTATTAAGTTAATGACTAACCAATTAACTAATATAAAACTGGAAAGTCCAAATGTTCCAGCTGACCACCAGAAAGCAAGGTTGATCAGTGTGAGCAGTCACAGCTATTCACGCTGGCACTCTGAATCCATCATGCACTAAAAAACCTCGATCTTTACCTGATCCAGTCGATCGAGGTCATCATCATAGATCTGGAGCTCCATGCCTCTGTAGCCCTTCTGGAAGCTGCGTCCTTTGGGCATCTCCACATCCATGGGACACACATACTCTTCATTGTCCTCCTGCTTCTTTTTTCTCCCAAACCCCACAAATGCCAGCTTATGTGGCTAAAAATGGACAAAAATCGTGTGCAGTCAAAATCATTAGGCCTCTTGTGAATTTGTTTTCTTTTTTAAATATTTCTCAGATGTTTAACAGAGTAAGGAAAGTTTCACAGTATGTCTGATAACATTTTTTAGTCTAGAGAAAGTCTGACTTGCTTTGTTTTGGCTAGAATAAAAGGATTTTCCATAATTGAATCAGTTTTTTTTTATTATGTACTTTCATCATGGCAAAGATAAAAGAAATCAGTTATTATGAATGAGTTATTAAAACTATTATGTTTAGAAAAGTGTTGAAAAAATCTCTCCGTTGAAGAGAAATTGGGGGAAAATATACAGGGGGGCTAATAATTCTGACTCAACTGTAATCGTTTAAACTCCAAACTGAAGGAATCATCAGATAAATGAGCAGTGTTGCGATCATACCTTGACTTTAGCCGTGGCAGTGAGTAAAGCGTAATCTGGATTCTCCAGACACTCCTGTTTGAGCTGCTGGGCCTCGGAACCCACCAGCAGGTTAAAGTGAGTGGCCAGATGCCTCCGCAGCAGAGTCTTATTGGGGGGAATATTCAGCAGCAGAGCCATCGTCTCCACATTAAAGCGAGGCTCCAGCACCTATAAACAACATGGTGATTCATTTTAGTCGTGTGATATTTTGTCATGGAAATCATTAAGATAAGTGATGTTATTGTCATTTTAAAACTACATTATTCCACTGATTATATGATTATACAACATATACAACATAGTGCAAATAGGCATAAACACATTCAAGCGACAAAACTGTTTCCTTCTTAATGATGACATGAAATTAAAGTTTTTTTTAGACTTTAGTATTATAGTTAATTTAAGGAAATCTATAAACTAGTGCACACCAAAACAGAGACAAAATTCACATTTAGAAGATATAAATGTAATATAAACATACAAAGCTGGCAGTTCGTCACTCCCGCCTAAATGTATTAGCACTTTTTCTCACGTCACCTCATCCGCTTGTGAAGTCGTGATGTATCGGTAACGTATGGAATACTGTTTCCGGGTCAAGTCGCTACTCGTTTGAATTGATAAAATATTCCTTTATGAACACTTTTTAGTCCTATCACACATAAAAATGTATTTTATATAAAATTATAGTGTACACGACTGTCTCTGGACTTGCTGCATCACAAATACCAAAATTGTAACAATTTATAAAAAATTAATCACGTTCTGGCCATTGGAAATTCGGTATGGATATACATATTGCGATTGTGATATTCGAAAGTATTACACTGCTTTGTAAACGTTTATTATTACTATTTGACGAGTCTCCTCATTCAGTTTCAAAGAGGGCTTGGACCCAGGAGCCCCTTCGCGTAACGTCACACTTAACAAGCGGATACTTCAGTTTCTCATCACATCATGACCAAACAAATGCTCTCTAGTACACAACATGCCTCGCCCCCTTTAAAATGTGCTTGATCTCAACCACTCTCACTTGCAGATTGGTGATAAAACAAGATGCCATTGGCTTTTTTTATAAAAAGAGGAGGAGCTACAATTCATCCCAGCATCTCTTCATGTTTCAGTTGAGATTACCTGTTCTAAAACATCAAATAAAAATACACATTTCAAAGCACTTCACAGGACCTTTAATGTTGTTTATATGGTGCAGTTTGTAGGGCTACACGATCTGATATTGCAATGTTTTTTTTTTTGCGTTATATATTGCAATACGAATATAATTTCAGCAGATGACTTGAATAGTGATCCTAAATTTAAAAAAAAAAGTAAATTCAGTTGTTAAATCCAGATTTTTCCAAGTCCTTTTTCTCTTTTAATGACCTTGAAAAGGTGATCCATGCTTGTATTTTGGGAAGACTTGACTATTGCAACTCTCTATATGTGGGTATTAGTCAAAATGCCCTGAATAGATTGCAATTAGTACAAAATGCGGCTGCGAGACTTCTGACAGGGACTTGCAAGTATGAGCAGATATCCCCTGTTCTTTCCTCTTTGGGCTTGGCTGCCGGTTAGGTAATGGATTGATTTTAAACTATTAATTTTTGTTCTTAAATCCTTAAATGATCTGCCACCTCCTTACTCCTAAGACATCCTACATGTATATAATCCTAGTAGGCCACTAAGGTCTTCTGATCAGTTTATTCTTTCAGTAGCAAGATCCCAGTGTAAGCAAAGTGGGGATCGGGCTTTTGCTGTTATCGCCCCAAAACTCTGGAACGGGCTTCCACATCATATCAGACATGCTCCAACTCTATCTGTTTTTAAAAAGCTTCTGAAACTCCATGTTTGTTCTTTAGCACTTGAGTCTTTTTAATGTTGAGGGGTTTGCCTTATGTTTTAATAGTTATGTATGTGGCTTTATTTGATTAGCTCCATTTGGAATGAATACACTAATTTAGACTGATTGGGAAAATGTTGTAGGTGTGAATCAAACAAATTGCAAACATATATATATATATATATATATATATATATATATATATATATATATATATGTATATATATATATATATATATATATATACTAAAATAAAATAGAGCAAAGATAAAAATGATAATAAGCAATGCTTTATGAATTTCCAGAGAGTCAAACAGTAGTCAGATATTCAGGTACAAAAAATGAATAATCAAATGTAGAGTAAAATAACACTGCAGTCTTCATTTAGTCATTTAGTTCATTTTGTTCAGTCTTCAACTATAATTCACAAATCAACAATACAGATACTGCGAAGCTACTATTGTGAATGCGCACATTGTGATATCGATGGTGAAATTATACATTTTGCAGCCCTAGTTTGTTGCTAAAAAAGTTAATATCAGAATATGAACTTTGACGCTGGTATTGGAAGATGTAAATGTCCTTGTAAAATAGCTTTAATGTTAAAAAAATTCATCAGCCTAAGACACTCAAAAAATATGTAAACATGGTGCCAATATGTATCAAGGTTAATGTCCATGTTTTGTACAATAAGTCTATTGATACACATATATTTGCAATAAATATAGGATAAATATATTGATCATTGCAGCAAGCTTATATGACGTGCCTTTGATATCAACAGACTTGCAGTTTGTTTCCAAATGCATTTATGTCAGCATCGACATATAGAGCCATGTAGAGACCAATTTTAAGCACCGGCCAATGGATCCCCCTCCCCCCTCCAACTTCGCTTCCTGTCCTGCTACTATTCTATCAAAATAAAGGCAAAAAAGAAATTAATCTTAAAAAAAAAAATATGTGTGTTCAGTTACATTATGTGATTATAAGTTGTGAGCCAAGACTAGTATGAATGCTTACATCAAAAGTGTCCCTCTTATTTTTTTACGACAAAGTTTCACATGTAAATTTCAATAAATGATCCCTTGTGTCACGGGCTACCAGTGAGTGGGACACAGATTATGATCAAAAATCATAGCTGCCGTTCAGTGTTTTGGCACGCAGTAGACTATGAATACTTTGTTTTGGTACACTTTCTCACAGCAAGCCTCATGATGATCATGTGTTGGGTCAGACGGTGGAGGGTAGGTGGTCTTTTATGGCTGTTTGAATGGTCTTTTAGTCATGGTTTTACAATCTTATATTTGTATATCATGTCTGAGCTATTTGCATTTTGTTCTGTTAGTTGGACATCTCTTTAAATGCGGAGTGAGGTTGTCACTTCTTGTGGTCGTATGTTATTGTGAATGACAAATAAAACAGTTTTCTGTTATGTTCAAAACAGTTGCAAATCTGATTTAAAGCGTTTAGGCAATCTTTGGAAGTGGTCAAAAGTAAACAAGCTCAAACCATTTGTTGTGGTCCATTTTTAATTGGATTGACAAAAAAAAATCTTAGTGAGAGCTGCTAAATCTTCTCTGTAGATGTATTTATTCGGCATAGTTAGACCTATTGCAGAAGTTATGGTCCCACTTTATATTAAGTGTCCTTAACTACTATGTCTTTATATAAAAAAATAAATACAATGTACTTACAGTGTTTATAATGTATTTGAGAACACTTGTGGTGCTTTTGAGTTGGGATAGAGGTTGGGTTATGGAAAGGTTTGGTGGCATGGGTAGGTTTAAGGGTGGGTTAAGGTGTAAGGGATGGTCAACAGTGTATTTACAAATAATGTAATAACAAAAGTTACAGATGTAATTACATACATGTATTTAATCAAACATAAGTACACAGTAAATACATGTACTTACACAATATGTACATTGTAACAAACTATTAATTCCTGTATAAGTACATATTAGTTTAGGCCACTTAATATAAGGTGGGACCGAAGTTATTAATCTGAAATTTATTTTAACAGTCTGGGATGAGTGCTTTTATAAAGGCTCTAACTTCAAGGGAAAATTAGTCTGGAGTTAGATAAGGGTGTTGTTTTCCAGGAAAGTTCACTATGGCTGTTAAATTTTTAGCTTTATCCACAACAGCTACTGTACATCGCCTAGTTCTGTCACTAAAGTAGTTTATATTTACATACAGTAAATAAATAACTATTTGAGGTATTTTTTGTTTTATAAACAGTGAAATTAGCCATATGGAATTTATCCTAAAATTACAAAAACATCAGCAAAGTAACTTCTATCTAGATAGTACGATAAAAGTTATTATGTTTGTCAATAAATGGAATTATATTTCATTTTCTATTTAAATAATCTGATTTAATTTGATTCAAAATTAAGTTATATCAATTTTATATTTATTTAGCCAGAAAACAGCACATATTTAGCACATCACACTTGTGGTGATGAGGCGAGACCCCCTTCTCAAAGTGCTTTGAATGTATGGCCATACACAGTAAATGCTGAGCTTGAGCAGATTCAGAATATTCACTGAGTAGCTCAGCAAACACATTTTAAACTTCCTTTTAGGCCTAAGGTAAAAAAGGAAAAGAACTTTGCTTTGAGCATATCAGCAAAGACAAGTTCATGTTCAACTTTGACCACCACTACAAATCTTTCATATTCCAGCCCATAAACTTAACCCCTGCAAAGTTTGTTTTTTTACCATCAGTCCTCCGTGTACTCCGCTGCCCCTCAGGTTGGGTGCGTATTCAGCCAGATCAACAGACCGCAGCCACTCCATCACACGGTGGTTTGTCCATTGAGAGATCTCAGCAGGACTGATGTTGTTCTGAAATGATGGTGAGCATGAGAGTTGCTAGTATATGTAACAAAATAGCAGAAAAGCAGAGATCAGAGCTGGCCTCTTCTTACCTCATCTGAGGGTCTTCGCCGCAGGCAGTTGGGGTCATAGTTGTTGAGCCGGAGCACCTGGATGGCTCTTTTAATACTAAGGTGATGAAGAACGCTGCCCACTTTCAGAGATAACAGGTCATCCTGATCAATACAAGTGGGAGAAGGTGCTACTCAATCAACTGAACATTGAACCATTTATTACACAACACCACCTGACAAAAGTCTTGTTGTCGATCCCAGTTGTAAGAGCAACACATAATAACTTGACTTCTAGTTGATTATATGGAAAAGTGGCAGAAGGTACATGTTTCAGATGAATCATGGACACAATATTCTCACAGAAAACAGTCACGTTTTGTGAAAGAAAAATCATAGTTTGGGGTTACATTAGTATCGGTGTGAGAGATCTGCAGAGTGGATGGCAACATCAACAGCCTGAGGTATCAAGACATTTGTGCTGCCTTTTTTTTGCTGTACAACGAACAGGAGAGAGCAAATTCTTCAGCAGGATAGCGCTCCTTCTCTTACTTCAGCCTACACATTAAAGTTCCTGAAAGCAAAGAAGGTCAAGGTGCTTCAGGATTTGCCAGCCCAGTCACCAGACATGAACATTATTGAGCATGCCTGGGGTAAGATGAAGGAGGAGGCATTGAAGATGTATCCAAACAATCTTGATGAACTCTGCAAGAACACTTTCTTTGTCATTCCAGATGACTTTAATAATACGTTATTTGGGTCATTGCAGAGATGTATAGATGCAGTCCTCCAAACTCATGGGAGTCATACACAATATTCATTCTTTTTCCACTGCACCATGACTGTATGTTCTATACTGTACATTATTTCTGTTAAGTGACAAGACTATTGTCTAAGTCTGATCTTACTGTCCTAATTAAATAATTAAAAATCAAGGCATGATCATTTTGGTTTGGTTAAATAAGCGTAATCTAGAGGCCCTTGATTACAAATGATCAACTAGAAGTCAAGTTATTATTTGTTGTTCATAAAACTTAGATAGGTGACAAGATTTTTGTCAGGTAGTGTACAGATTAAGGTCCGCAATTCATTTTTTTTTTGCAAATGACCTAATCAGAGCTCATGAACTGGTACATTAATACAATTAGGTTTAAAAAAAAAAAATACACCGCTCAAATACATCTAAACATTCAATTGCAGTGCAATGTACAATAGATAACAGGAATGTGTCGCAGCTTTTCATTCCAGTCAGCCAAGAGGTGACAAAAAGGTGCAAATTATTTCAGGAAAAATATATTTTAATAGTTTTAATTTTAATTGTTAGAAGCACAGGTGCTCCTAAAATTCTTAACACGGAGCACCGCAGGACACAAAATAAAGTAACAAAAATATACATCTTTTTTAAATAAACACTTTATAATATATATTTTTAAAACTTTATATTTATGAAGGAATCCTCAATAAATTCCAAAACATTTTGATTTCCACAAAAAACTGATGCTTACCTATAAAATACGAGTCTAATGCTGAATATACATCACAAAATTAAATTTCCTTTTAAATATATTAAAGGGGTGGTCCAGAATGTAATTTTAAGGCTTGGTTGTGTTTAAAAGATGCAAAGCAATGTGTGCTCATGCTTTACTTGAAGAAAATCACGTTATTTTTTCATAAATTTTACTTTGATTATATACAGCTACTTAGCTAACAAGAAAACGACATATTTCCTAGTACTCTGAAAGGCCCACCCTCAAGTGACTCTGATTGGTCATCTATCATAATGTGCTGTGATTCGCGGATCGGCTCCACGTCACGCCCGTACAAGCACGCGCTTTTGTGCCGTGTAAACAGTCAGTGAACCTCATGCAAGCTCTCTAAAATAAAATCTGACAAGTGTCTGTAACAAGTGAAAATGGGGTGCAGCTCCTTTAAGAGAGATTGCCATTGTCGTATGTGTGTGTGTATATATGTGTGTGTGAACTGTCTTTAGACGCAGGTAACATGAGAAGCGCATGTGCGCAGTACCAATGTTTCTTTTTGTTTTTCTCTGATGCGCGGATTATTTTCTGTAATATATACATTGACGCAGTTGACAGAAGAATAAAGCACTACATGTGGGATGTGACCTGTGTGAGCCTTGATTAATTTTTCTGCTGCTACACAAGTTAGGCGAGCTCTCCTGTATTTTTTTAACTCGACGTGTTACACGACGTCTTTCACATATATTTGGAAAATGCATGTGTAAGTAATATGAATCGTTCACATATGTTTTGCAAGTTCATTGTCTGAGATGTAAAACGCAGGAAATTACAGTGGCTCTGGCCGCACCCCTTAGCTGCGCAGTGTGTGTGTGTGTGTGTGTGCGGTAAAAGCATGTTTGTGATCTCACTGGCCCAGAAGAATTTTTTTGTAGTCCCCCAAAATTCGTTCATTGTAGGCTTTGCTATGCTAACTCTGTAAAAACCGAGGTCTCCCTTTGCATTGAACTTTGAGCATTTTACATTCAGAGATGTTGTTTATGTTCACACAGCTACATTACACATCAACTTAAGTTTAAAATATGATATTGTACTGGCCAAACCCCTTTAAAACATTACACAAACTACATTTAATTAACATTAAAAGTGTCAAAGATATTTCTCAATATTACTATCTTTACTGTATTTCTGATCAAATATTGATGAACATACAAGTCTCATACAAAAACATGATTTGTTTCCAATTGTAATGTATATTAATAGCTAATTTAACTCCTCATACAGTGATTAAAAACCTTTTGAAATGTAAAATGCCTGAAAAAAAGACTAACCACAGTCATATAGTGAAGCATCCGTCCATCCACTCGTCCCTCGTCAAACTGAGTCTTGTACTGCGGGAGGCCGATGTCATCAAGCCACCCTAGAACAGAAATAATGGGGTTTCAACACAAATACAGTTCAGGACGTTATGAATAAATCAAGTAAAAGACTCAATATGACATTTTTGCGTTTGATTACTCTATTATACAATACTTTTTATAAGTAACCATTGCCTACTTGTAACCCAGTGGTAGTCTAGTTTGCCCTTGTTGTCGTCTTCCTCTGAGCCCAGAGCCTGCAGGGCCAGCTGGAGTTTCTTCCTGTGTAGCGGGTGTTTTATTCCCAGCTCCTGCACACAGAGAGAAAAGAACAGTCCATGACCATGAGATTCAGAAGATTCTGATTATTACTAGTTTTAAATATGAATCGGACTGTTTACAAGAGTGTGTTTTTGTTTAAAAGAATGTATTGCACCCACACTATGTGGGCTGAGTTTTTGCATCTCAAAAATGGAAAACAAAACATAATTTTATTTATTTTTTTTGTGATGTGACAGCAGAAAGCACATCCTGCATTTTTATTTTAAATGCCAAAATGTTTTTTTAATGAGTGCACAGAAATAAAAGTTCACCTTTTACAAACTGGATTGTGCCTGAGAATCAGTGTTGCCAGATGTAGCTGACTTTTTCCACCCCACAAGTTTTACAAAACACACAAAAACCCACCCAAAATATTAGATTAATATTTTATTCAATTCTGAATTCATTTAAATTGAAATTAATCTAGTTACTTTAACTGTTATATATCTATTTTTTAAACCATACAACAGCAGCAGTCACAGAATCACAACATAACCGAATCACATCAAAACACTGCACTTAATGTTGTGTAGATTACACTACCTATTACAGTATTTTACTTTCTAAATGGGGTATAAAATCATCCCATTTGGCATTTCAAATTCTTTTAAAAACATAATTAGGTTCTGCTTGCCAATCCGACAATGCTTTTATGCTTGTTACTGCTGTTAATTGCAGAAAAAATGATCGATAACTCTCATGATAGACCACAGTGCGTTTAACTGCAGGTGCTGCGTGATGCGTGTGCACGCAAATGGGAGTCAGATTTTGATACAACTTTCCTTCACCTCCTCTTGCTGGTAGGGCCACATGGTTTGCACTATGCACGCTTCACAGCTAACTGAATGGAGTAGGAGCACACAGTTATGTTTTATTAAATAAGTTGCATATAAAATGTAAGTATCAAAACCACCAAATTTTGTCAACCCACCTATGCCATTTTTTACCCATATAATCAAATTCAAAACCGCCCAATCTGGCAACACTGCTTAGAATCTCACAAGTCCTCAATATATTATAGCATTTGCTAACATGAAAATTAAACAAACATACAAGCATAGAATAAGCTACACTGCCCAATATAAATGGTCAATTGTATGGACTTTGCATTGACCCACCATGATGTTTTTTTAATGTGGATACTGCCACATGAGTGCAAAGCCTTGCTTCAACAAAAAATATTTGCAGTGTAACATTTGGTTATTAAACTATTACGAAAACAATTGTTTTACTAGCTTTAAATAAATTCAACTAGTCATTTAGATACCTAGTACACATACTAGACCCATGTTGTTAATAAGTAACAGCTTAATTTGTGTTTAACTTAATTGTATATACGCATTTTATTATATTTATAGTGTTTAATTCAGCCTATTGGTAACATTTTTAAATTGTTTCCAAATAAAAAAAAAAAAAATGTTTTCTTCTCTAAATGCAATTTAATATTAGACAATGTAAATACTACTAGTATTTACATTGTATTTAGATTATAATTTTAAACTATAATTTTATAGTCACTTGTATCCTCTGCTTTGTGTTTTCAGTATTGTAGTGTTAAACCCCAGTACGGATGAGAATCATTGCTATTATAAAATGCAGTGTTAAAACACTAAAACAAACTAAAAGATCAGATTCTCACTCTTTCCAAGTCATGTTGGGACGCCTGCAGAAGCGTCTGCCCGGAAGAGACCCACTGCCTCGCCAAAGTCACATACAGTCCCAATCCCTGCTCCTGCATCCAGTCACACACCTGCTCCCGGGACCATCGTGCAAATGGGGCATCAAGATCACTGCACAACGCAAACATAATGAAGAACACACATACTGAGCTTTCTGAAATCTGATTGCATTTACTAAAAACATCATAATAGGCTTCTAATAAGGAACAGAAGTACTCAAGATAATATAATGTGCAAACATCCAAAAAGGCAGGTGCTTAATTGCAAGAAACACTTCACTATCAATAAATAAAAATCAACACACTGCCAGTACTGCTCTCAAAAATCAACTGATTAAGTTAAAAAATAAATGTTAATTGAGGTAATAAGTTGATTAATTTTGCCAGGTGTGATGGATCATGTTGATATAGTGTACTCTTCTGAGCACTTGAAGGACTTGGTGTTGACACATCATGCTTAACTTAGTAAACTGATTTTTGAGAGCAGTATTTGTGACATGCTGATTTTAGTTTGTTAATAATAAACAGAAGGTTTGATGACCTTTATGACTGACCTGTTGGTGTTCTGCAGGTCACGTGACCATCCCAGTCTGGGTCCAGCAGTGGCTCTGACTCCACCACGCTTAAACTCACTTTCTGACAGGTTATCATCCAGGTTGAATGTGGTCGACTGACTTCTTTTGAGCCTTAAAAATAGAGAAGTCATCAGTTCCACAAATCATGTTGCATTACTCATTTTCATCAACCTTAAAGACCTCCTTTGGACAACATCTTGTACAATACTGTTTTGTCCAAGTGGTGCTCGCTGCAGAGCCATTTGAGGAGAGGTGAGCTCCAGAGAGGGGGAGCTTAAGCTTGAGCTCCACCTTTTTTGCACTTCTTCTACGAGTGATGTCACTGGGGGTAGGGTTAGGGGTGGGGTTGGTGTACGCATTAAAACAGCTTACAGGAGGAGGAGCGACAGCTCATGCTCCCCCTCTCTGGAGCTCACCTCTCCTCAAATGGCTCTGCAGCGAGCACCCTCTCGTTTTGTCTTATGTAAAAGTACTGTATAGTATGTCTTAGGTTGTGTAGAGTTTAAGTATTTAGTACAGTATATGCATAGTTCGATTACCGCTATGGTATATTAGTAATGTTTAGGTTTAAAAAAGCTCATGTCCAGTGCTGTGTTCATATTTATTGCTATGTTTATTTAAGTAGCACTGTTAGAGACACGAAGACATTTCGTTCCACTATACGTCCACACATGTAGCTGAATGAAAGCTCGACTTGACATTCACACCTGTAGAACAATTGTTTTGTTCCAAAACAGGGATTAAAATTGTTACAATGTTTATTTTTGTTCTTGGTGCAGTTCGCTTTCACACGGCAAAGTTTTTAAACTGACTAAAATAGTCCCATGGATTCCGCTCAACTATCATACATTGTTATTTTAATTTATGATGATAAGCAAAAAGGCTTTAATTTTGACACCCACAGACATCATCTCCAAATATAAATCAGAGAGGTAAGACTTTCTCATACAGAGCCTCATTTCAGTTGTCAAGGGTTGTAAATATTAAATCAATCAATCTATTATAAAACTGTTGGCTACAATTATGCATTATAGGCCTAAATTATAGAGAGAAAAAAATATCATATGAAATGAGACGGCAATCAGATCATGAAGCAGATCACTGTTGATCTTTCTATTGAGGTTTCAGTGCAGAAATGGATGAAACAATAGGCCTAATACAAAATATTGTAAAACATATTTCAGTCAATTTAATGGATAAACAGCTCTCATTACGATTTCAGCATGCTTTGACTTTCGTATTCATCATGAAGTGCGCATTTGCAGGTAGGAATGATGACATCCCTCTCTACTCATAACTACAATTATGGTACAAAAAAGTTGCAACAATACAGCAGCTCTGTTTCAGACTCACTTTCCAAAGAGTGCTTTAAATCCTTTGGACTTCTTCTTGCCCTCTGGTGAAATGGGGAGAGTGTGTGTGCTGTCGCTGTCAGCTGACCTCTGTGGCAGGCCTGCCAGATCCAGATGGTCAGTGCCGTCCCTCTCCGTCTCAGCTGTGCAAACAAACACAAACACCAGTAAGGAAAGTCCTGTTGTCGCCACAGCAAACTACGCTTCCCACAATACCACGGTCAGTCGAGCATCAAATAAACTGAAGATTATGGGAAGTCAGAAAAAGACAAGGTAGTTGTTTAGCTTGAGACCAGAGCAGTAAAAATGTCATGAATAACAGGAAGTTCAAAGAAAACAAAGCCCGAAAATGACAGTCTTCCCTGAACTACTGGAGTCAGCATCATAGGGCTAGATCACAGATGACTTCTTGTCTGGACTCAAAAACTACTGGATTGGGTTTATTTTAGGATTGGAAAAAAAGTCACATGGGGATATGAAAGTAAACACAATGGAAGTAATCTGCTTGTTTTGATGTTTCTCAACTGGTGGGTCGCAACTCAAAAGTCGGTCGTGGAGTGCTTTTGTAGTGAAGTTAAATTTTTTCACATATATATATATATATCTTTACAGATTTTTAACCTTTATTTGATAGGACAGTGGAGAGGGAGACAGGAATGTATGGGGAGCAGAGAAAGAGAGAAATTATCAACAAATGACCCCGAACCAGGAATCAAACTCAGGTCTCTGTGAACACCTCATTAGCCGCATTTCCACTATCAGGCCAGTGCGAGCCAGGGCTTATATCGGGCCAGGCCGGGCCAATCGCCCGGGAGGTTGAACAGTGAGGCCGAAATCATGTTGCGTTTCCACTGTGGGGCTAGTAGCTTGCAGCGCGTCAGCAAACCCCGCCCCCAGAACATCCCCCGAATCAAACGTCACTCAAACCGCCCACTTCAGCGAGAATCATGCAGATAAAGCACATCGTCACGAAACTATTAAAATTAGGAAAACCAAAACAAACAAATGACACGTTACTGTACAGCAGTACAACGCATGCCTGTGTGTTTTCATTCATCATATTCATTTACTCGCCGACCGACTCGCATCGAAATCCAGTGGTCTTGCCACCAACGGAGGGACCTAGCACAAGGAGCGCACACATCCATGATATAACACCACATATATAAAATTCTCCGTTAATAACTCGCTATAAAATGTATTTTATAACATCCTCTAGACAGACGCTGTCCAACATTCATCCCAAATGATCGGAGAGAACTGAAACATGATTATTTTTCCCTATAGGCTTTATGACACTTAATAGGTGATTCCCTTTATTTAAAGATGTTGCTTATTATATCTTAAGTAAATGAAAGTGTTCAGTGTTTCAGCACATAAGAGCAGCACGTAATAAAATATTGCCTATATTTCGTTGCGCTCAGCAGCTATGCACTAATAAAGCTCTTTATGTATTTTAAATTTCCTTTTTTAAATTTACCACGTTATATAAAAACATACACACTTGTTTGAGGACACAGAACACATTTTGAACTTGCAGTTTTCCCGTCTAAAAAAGTGCTGCGCAGCTGCAGACAGAAAAAAAGGTCGCCTATTTCTGCGTTCACTCACCCCGAAAATGCTCTGTTTGCATGATTTGATTAATTTCATCGTATCCAAATACTTTATAAATAATATTTAAAACATTTTCCGGTGTTTATTTATTTATTTATTTTTTAGAAAATCTATTTTTCAAAGAGGCTTTTGAAAAATGAAAGTTTAATATAAATTTGAAACAGTTTGATATACCTAATTGTTATAGCTATAGCTTTTGTTAGTTTTATATTGGTTTATTTATTTAATGTGATTTCATTATAGGCCTATCTGATATTTGTAATTCTTTAAATTATTTAAATATAGCTTAGGCAATTTTATCTAGACATGACACTATTGTTTTGAGCCTACAAAAGCGGACATGAAATTTGTAAAGTTTAATGTCTTTCTGTTGTATTCATATAGTGTATTATCTCCAAAATAAATTAAAACAATAAAAATAAAAGAAAAAAAGACGCTTGCGGCATCAACAGAGCTATGAATGGAGCGCTCTTTTCCTTAGTCTCACACACGCACAGGCATCTAAACGAGCAAAAACACTTATTAAACTTGACAAAACCTCTTGAAATCCTTTACTGTCTGCTGTGTCTTTAATATGGTGTAAAGATGCGTTATTGAAACATCAAAGAGATGCAGCAAAGAAAAGTGACTTATTAAAACTATCATTTTATGCAACAACCTTACATTTAAAAGAGAAACATAAGGGCGATCATATGCAAAAAAGACCCCAGCCTATAATTTGTTCCAGATGTTTTCTTTCTCTTATTTATTTATTTGTTTATGTGTTTGGCGCATGTACTCGTGTGCGATCGGAAAACTGTGCCCGCCTCTCCTTTCACTCCGCCCCGAAGCCCCGGCTGGCCCTCTTTGGCCCAAGGTATTCGGCGGGCCGAAAAAAGCCGGCCGCTGGCCCCAAGAAAGCCCCGCTTTGGCCCGATTAGGCCCCGGAAGTGACAGTGGAAACGCCACTGGCCTTGGCTCGCCCTGGCTCGCTCGCTTTAGGCGCGATAGTGGAAACGCGGCTATTGCTACAGTGCATCCGGAAAGTATTCAAAGCGCTTCACTTTTTCCACATTTTTTATGTCACAGCCTTGCTCCCAACTGAATTAAATTTATGTATTTACCCAAAATTCTACACACAATACTCCAAAATGACAATGTGAAAGAAGCCAGAAGCCAAGATGATGTGAATAAAGTTATACAGTACACTGTTCCCTTTGAAAATTTACCCAACATGTTCTTGGGACTATTTTCCATATCAAACTTGCGAAGTCTGAACTTACAAGGAGAGGATGCAGGACTTTAACTGTGTGTAGGCTACTTCAGCGTTTTAAAAATGCTCCGTTCTCGGCGCTCGAAAACTCTGGCGTAGTGTGGACGGATGGCGTAACTGTAGCAAAACTTATGCGTTTTCGCACTAAAATGCAATAGTGTAAACAGGGCCTCATACACTAGGGTCAATTTTAGCATAGCCAATTCACCTGTACCACATGTCTTTGGACTGTGGGGGACACCAGAGCACCCAGAGGAAACCCTCACGAACACAGGGAGAACATGCAACTTTACAAAATGTATTATAGAAATATAACAATATACATAGCACATAAATATTATATGTTACATATAACAAAAACTAGTTTGGCGTGCTATTTAATCTTTATCCATCAGTATGTTATTCTTTCAGTGCATGTGTATTTTAAGTTAAGTGTGGTGGAATGTGTGAGTATGTATATGTAAGATTATTGACCATGGGCTAAAGTGGGTCCCATAGCCAAACCAGCATAGAGTAAAGTTTCCACACATCCTATTACCTCCATTCATCTGAACAGAGAAAATTCTATCAATAGCTGTTTATGACCACTCTTTAGTTAGACCACACAATTAAAGTAAATCTCTTACAAAATCATGTTGTTCACTACATTCTCTGCACTTGTTTTGAAAGAAGAATCACTGTTTGACCAGTTTAGGTAATATTTAAATATCACAATCATGTATTTTAATAGGATAACAGCACACCGCTAGTATAAGTACCATCTCTAAAATCAACTGGCACAGAATCAAGCCTCAATGTACATTAAAGTAACCTAGATTTGAGGAGAACATAAAGAGCTGTGAGACAGTGGTCAGGAAATCTGAGAGCTGGGTAATGTGGTCAGACAATAACAGATCCTATATAATCTTCATCTCGAAGGGCTGACACTGGTCACCACATGAGCTCAGTGTTTAAACATGTTGATTTAGGCTATTATTTTGACAAGAGGACTTCAAACCACCCATAATCTCCATTACCTCACTGAATATCATCTCCTCCTATAAAGAAGAGAAATGAAAACAAACCAACTAAATTACTTTCAGCAAGTTTTCTGAATATTATTTTTCTAAATCAAGCGTGTATGAATGAAGATGAAATAAGCTTTGTGGGTCCTTCTACAATAAATCAGTGATCACAATCATTCACGTTTTCAAAATTATTAAAAGTGATGCATCTATGCGTTTATAAAACAGCAAAAATATGATTTACGTCAAGCACTCTTGTATGTCTTTAAATATGGTAAAGGGACAGCACATACAAAAATAAAATTGTGCCAACATTTATTAACCTTTCACTCATTCCAAACCTGTATGACTTTCTTTATTCCATTGAACAAAAAATGAAGTAATTTTGAAGAAAGTTGGAAACCTGTAACCATTGACTTCCATAGTATTTGGCTTTCCTACTATGGAAGTCAATGGCTACTGGATTCCAACCTAATTCAAATTATCTTCTTTGGTTTTCAACAGAAAGATTTTAAACCACTTGAAAGCAAGTAAACAGTAAGCAAAGTTATTTTTGGATGAACTGTCCCTTTAAAATACTGACTTTTAGCAGAAGCAGTGCATCTGTTTTGAAATGTTACAACATGATATTCAACAGATTACGGTCCATATTTACAAAGCACCAGTGTAAATCCCTTTGTAACATCAGCAATGAAAAGTTGTGTATTTGTTCAGGTTTTAGTTTTTTTGGTAGCTCAGATCTTGTGATACACATTTTAAAGCCAGAAGATGAACATACAGTAGCACAAAAAATAAATAAATAAAATAAATAAATAAATAAAACTCAGAACAAATAGAAATGTATTTATCTAGAAAGAGAGTCTTACATAAATTTGGGGCGCTGGCAGTCCTCTTGCCACCCTTGAGCTTGAAAAAGCCCCGTCCAAATGATGATCTCATTTTCCTGGTGCCAAAACTGTCATCCTCAGCAGTACCAGAAGAGCTTGTCGATTTGGGTGGTAAAGTAGTGATCTTGTTGAACTCATCAAATTTTTTGCTCTAAAACAAAGGAGAAAATACATTTAAGTAACCTCCAATGAATTAATGTAATATAAGACACTTCAGAAGAAAATACACCAGAGAAAGTTTTAGAAAAATGTTATATTATATAGGCTTCAACTTGAGTGACATCTAATAGTTTAAGCCAGTGGATAACAAAACATGCCATTTAGTTGCAAGTGATTATCAAAAATGATCTGGTAGACCACTTCAACTTTCCTATTGCAGAAGAATGGAAAGTAATTGTAATAGAAATTTGTACGATGGAAACAGTTACTTTCTTTTTAAAACAAACAGGAAAAAAACAACATAAAGGTGCTATTTTATGGAGTGACTTTTCAAACATTTGAAAAATGTGCAACAGAAATTGTTTCAATCTTCTTTAAATCATCAAAATTATACTGTACATAGTCAGTACATTGTCTATCCCAAGTAAAACTAATATTCTCTTTTTGAATAATATTTTCTTTAATTTAAGTATCAATGGAGTTAAAATGGACCTTTTCACTGGTTCCCCCATCGAGGTTCCCTTGGCTCCCTGATTTTGTGACTTCTGAACTCCTAAAACATGAAAAGATATTGTTACTATGACTTTGCCAGCATACAGATGATCATAAACACTTGCACCTAAACATCAAACCACTATCTTAAATGAATAGTTCGCCTATAAAAATGAAAACTGTGTCTCCATTTACTCTCCTTCAATTGTTTTCAAACCATTATGAGCTTTTCTTTTTCTATTGACATAAAAAAAGTAATTTTGAAGAGTGTTGTGAAGGATTAGCATTTGACATTCATGGTAGGAGAAAAATATGATGTACATTATAAAAATATCTGTAAATTAGCAGTTTTACATATTTTGTGATTCATGTTTTTATTTTTTTTCCAGTTTATTTATACTTTTGAAATGCATTATGGTACCTCAAACAACTTTTGAACATTGAAATGTTTGAAAAAAAAAAAAAAACTTTTATTAAAATTTTAATAGTTTGATGAGAGATATCGTCTTGGTTGGTGTTGTATATTATGGTACAAAGACCTTATAATTAACTGCCAGTACATTTTCTGTTATTTTACAGACTTATTTCTCTAAATATAATTTCTTATATTACTTCAAACTACAAAATGTCAATAAAAGTCACTGTTAACACTTTAAATTAGGTCACAATTCATGTTTTTAACTACTGGCTTATTATCTGCCCATTATTAAGATATGAACTGTTCATTAGTAGTTATAAAGTCTGATCTTATTCTGCATTCCTGATCCTACCCAAAACTTAAACCCAACTACTACCTTACTAACTATTAGTAAACAGCTAATTAGTAGTTTATTAAGCTAATAGTGATAGTTAATGGTTTGTCAATACCATGAATTGTGACCAAAACTAAAGTGATAGCAAGTTAGTCAACTTTTGATGTTGAAAATTCAACTCTGCAGTTTAACAGAGCAGAGATCATTCATTCATTCATTCATTCATCCATTTATTTTCTTGTCTGCTTAGTCCCTTTATTAATCTGGGGTCGCCACAGCAGAATGAACCGCCAACTTATCCAGCAAGTTTTTACGCAGCAGATGCCCTTCCAGCCGCAACCCATCTCTGGGAAACATCCACACATACATACACTCATACACTACGGACAATTTAGCCTACCCAATTCACCTGTACCGCATGTCTTTGGACTGTGGGGGAAACCGGAGCACCCGGAGGAAACCGAACGCAGGGAGAACATGCAAACTTCACACAGAAACGCCAACTGAGCCGAGGTTCGAATCAGCCACCCAGCGACCTTCTTGCTGTGAGGCAAACGTGCTACCCACTGCGCCGCCAGAGCAGAGATCAGCATCCGATAATGTACAACAGTAAACAAGCGGAAAAATTTTGAAAATCACAAAATACAGAAACTGTTAAATAACAGATATCTTTTACAGTGCAAGTCAAAAGCTAAAGGTTTCCAGCATTCTTCAAAATATCTTCATTTGTGTTCATAAATGATGACAGAATTTTCATTTTTTGGGTGATCACTTTAATGTGTTTGTAATCAGTTTCTCTCGGTTGTGCCATTTAAAGGTGCAGTAGGTGTCTTCAGAAGCAATTTTGTTGTGCTGATTGATAGTCTCTTCACAATCTAATAGTTATGATTAAAGTAAATTATCTAAATGTATTTATATGTGTTTTTATATTTTGGGTAAGGCATAAAACAAAAAAAATGTTCATCCAATTAAATAGAGTCGGGTCGATATCTCTCATATTTCCGATAAGTAGCCCAATCTGTCTGTCGGCAAATGCAGATTTGAACAACTGCGCAGCTTTTTGTGCGCAGCTCCGCCGACCGCTGTTTGTGCATAGACGTGTTGCGCATCAACGAGAGAGAGAGCATAAGCACATGATCAGCAAAAACATGCTGAATCAAAAAATTTTTAATTTTAAATTAAATTTTAAATTTTTTTTATGGCTGAAGGATTTCTTTTAGACAGGTAATGTTATGTTTTAAAACTGTTTTAGCTTCCCGCAAAGCTGATGTAACATTAGATGTTGTTGTTACAAATAGGTTATATCTTTACAGAAGTGTTGTTCAGCCACTAAACCTTCCGATGAAAGATTGATAAGACTATTTTCAGATTCATAAGGGACCTTTTACAGCATCGATAATGTAGATTTAAATCAACAAAATACAAGTAAATACCGCTATTCCGCCTAGTCTCTCCCTATATTGTTAACCATGCAACTCTAAATATTCACTCTGGGAGGACTTCCGGTTCCGGGGCGCATGGAGAAGGCTGCTCTTGTCTAAGCTCCAACAATCCTCCAAATAATTTAATACAATCGATCCTCAGATTTAATAATTACCTGTCAAAAAGTGTTTTCAAGAGATTCAAGAATACATTAGGCCTTGATAATGCCAAAAAACCCGAAAAAAGAAGGCAAAATACAAGAAGAAATAGACGATGTCCACGGCAAAGCTGGCAACGCAGAGGAGCTGAGGCAAGTTGTCAATAAAGGTGGCACAACTTCTCCTAATAATCAAGACATTATAGACGCTATAACAGCTTTAAATGCCTCAGTCAATCAAAAATTCGACACCTTTACGCAAACGATTGCAGAATTACGTACGACACTGACAACTAACACAGAAAAAATTGCATCGATTGAAGAGGCTTGCACTGACCACGAGGTACGCCTGTTAGCAGTACAAAAACAGTGTGCGGAACTGGTGGATGAATGCAAACGCCTCAGAGAAAAAAGCGATGATCTCGAATCCCGCTCCAGGCGTAATAACATTCGACTTGTGGGAATTGCTGAAAAGGAAGAAAGCGGTAGACCCACCGAATTCATCGCGGAACTTCTCCCAAAAATGCTGGGCCCAGAAAACTTCATCAAACCAATACAGGTAGATCGAGCACACAGAGCGCAGCGAAGATTGAAGGATGATCGGCCGAGAGCATTTGTCATCAGATTACATCACTTCCAAACGAAAGAATTAATCATGAAGCTGGCTAGAGAGAAACCCCTGGAATATAAAGGATCAAAAGTGCATATCTTTCCAGACTTGACGACGGAGGTGTTAAAGCAGAGATCTCGATTTGCCGAAGTCAAAAAGACATGCAAGATCAATGGCATCAGACATGGATTCCTTTTTCCAGCGTCATTCATCTTAACCACAAAAAATGGCGAAAGTAAAACATTTGATTCACCAGAGAAAGCAAGCTCCTACCTGTCGCGTGTGGTGAACAACTGATCAGCGAATTAAAATAAGAAATACGAATGTGCAAATCTTAAATAAACATAAATAACGTTGACAATGACATTGTATGTTCTGGTGAAATAAGAGGATCATATCGAATATAATTTTACTCTTTAATTGTATGGAGGAATACGAGTTTGTATGTTTTTTTTTCCTTTTTTTTTCTTCTTTGCTTCTCTCAATAAGGAATACGGAAGATTACGTTGCTTCGGTGGTGAGTTATCCAGCAGTAACGTGGAACTAAGCCATCTGACGTTAGATGTGGGGAGGGGGGAAATTGGGGTGTTCATCTTTGTATTTTCCTGCTTTGTCAGTTGTTCTTGGGAAGGGGTTACAGTTAAAGTTCTTGCGAAAGGCCTGTTGATTTATGTTAACTTTAGTCGGATGCCAAGATGGAGATTTTTACTTGAAAACCCAGAATAGTTCAAACAGTCAGAGAAAATGTAGTAAGGCTTTTAACCTGGAATGTCAGAGGCATGAATCACCCAGTGAAAAGACGTAAAGTTTATAATAATATAAGCAAGCTATGCGCCGAAATCATATTTCTGCAGGAGACTCATATAAAACAGACTGCTAAGGCACTTCTTAATCCTCATTGGGCAGCTCAAATATATCAATCAAATTTTTCTAACAAAACTAGGGGAGTGGCGATTATAATAAAGAAAAATGTTCCATTTATACATAAACAGACAATATCCGATAAATATGGCAGATACATAATCGTTAGTGGAGAAATAAACGCAGTCCCTATTACATTGGTTAATTTGTATGGTCCAAATTACGACGACCCTTCTTTCTTCAATAAACTCTTAGTTAAAATACCTGATGCGGCTTTACAAAATGTAATTATTGGGGGAGATTTTAATTGTGTCATTGACCCGATAAAAGATACACGGCCTAGTCGTACCTTTAAAAGCAAGTCTGCAGCTACGTTAAATAATTATTTTAGGAATATTAATATGGTTGATATCTGGAGGCATTTAAATCCATATTCTCGAGAATATTCATTTTATTCTTCAGTGCATAAATCCTACTCTAGAATAGATCTTTTTGTTGTAGATTCCAACTTAATAAAAATGGCTTCATCCTCCCAATATCACAATAGATTAATTTCAGATCATGCCCCATTGTCACTAGATTTAAAACTAAAGTTGGAAAAAGGAACGTACTGTTGGAAATTCGATAACTCGCTTTTAAATGATAATTTTTTTTGTAATTATATAACTGAAAAAATTGGGTATTTTTTATCTGAAAATGACAATGGCAGCGTTAATGAATCTGTATTATGGGATTCAATGAAAGCTGTAATTAGAGGTGAGATAATCTCCTTTCAAAGTAGAAAGAACAAAGAAGATAAAAAGAGATTAAATGAAATAGATGATCAGATTACTAAATTAGAAGAAAACTATAAAACTAACTTATGTTCAAAGACATTGAAGAAAATATTAGCATTGAGAAGTGAATATAATTCTATTCTTTCCAAAACAATTGTTAAACAAATTAATCAAATTAAACAACGTCAATTTGAACTAAGTGAGAAGCCTCAAAAACTTTTAGCTCGTCAACTAAAGCAAGCTCAAACAAAAAAAGCCATTTATAAAATTCAAACTGAAAACGGGGAAACGATAACCGACCCTAAAAAAATAAATGAAAGATTTGCAGAATTTTACAAAGAGGTCTATACATCTAATGGAAACACGGACAGAAGTGAAATAAACAAGTTTTTAAGTAATATTAATCTTCCTCAAATAAGTAAAGAAGCTGCTGAAACATTAGAGAAGGATATCACCCTTAATGAGTTAAATGAAGTAGTGAAAAATCTCCCGGTTAATAAGTGCTCAGGCCCCGACGGATTTAGTGCAGAATATTATAAAAAATTTTGGGGGATTTTAGGTCCAATCTTTCTCCGCGTGATTAATTACTCATTTTCTCAATCGATACTCCCCTCAACGCTTTACAACGCTACTATATCACTAATACAAAAACCCGGACGAGACAAAATGAAAGTGACATCATATCGCCCAATCTCAATTATCCCAATCGAGACAAAAATCCTTAGTAAAGTCTTAGCCAATAGATTACAACAATATATATGTTCGGTCATAAACCACGACCAAACTGGATTTATGCCAAATAGGCACATACATTCAAATTTAAGACGTCTTTTTAATATAATTTATACGAAACATACAACTAAAGCATGTGTAATTTCATTAGATGCTCAACGTGCATTTGATCAAATTGAATGGTCTTATATGTTTGCAACTTTATCTAGATTTGGATTCGGAGACAAATTTGTTCAATGGGTTAAAATGTTATATGCCAATCCAAAAGCTTCAATCCTCACAAACTCTACACTATCACCTTCATTTCCATTGTATAGAGGAACACGCCAAGGCTGTCCCCTATCCCCTTATCTTTTTGCCTTAGCTATAGAACCATTGGCTGCAAGTATTAGACAGAATAGTCAAATCTCTCCTATTTTAATTAATAATAGACCCCAATATATATCATTATATGCAGACGACGTGCTTATATATATGACAAAACCGGAATTGTCCATTCCAACCCTTCTAAATGTATTAGAGTCATTCAAAAAGTTGTCAGGTTTTACAATAAACTGGGACAAAAGTGAGTTAATGCCCCTTACGGAGGATAATGACATACATTTTTTACAATCCACTCCATTTAAAATAACTCATAATTCATTTAAACATTTAGGAATTAATATTACAAAAAAGGCAGAGGCTTTGTTAAAATCCAATTGGCATGTCAAATTAAATCAGTTAAAAGACAATATAAAATTTTGGATGACTTTACCAATTTCTATGGTAGGAAAAATTAACGCAATTAAGATGGTAACACTTCCCCGATTCTTATATTTATTTTTGTCCATTCCAGTTTTTATTCCAGTTAAACTATTCTCAAAATTAGATTCCATAATAACTTCATTTATATGGAATTATAAAACTGTTAGGATATCTAAAAAACACTTATGTAAATCTAAAGTAAAAGGAGGATTCAACTTTCCTTCGTTCAAACATTATTATTGGGCTGCAAATTTACAGTCCCTTGCTTGGTGGAGACATACTCCAGAAGACATTAAAGAAATACCAGAATGGGTTTTACTAGAAAGAACCTCCTGTAAGACAACATCATTGAGAGCTTTACTGAATAGTCCATTAAAAGTTGAATCAAAAATCTACACAGATAATTTTGTGATAAATAACTCTCTCAAGATATGGAAACAGATTAAACTGTCCCTCAGTCTCCCAAATACTTATTTGGATTGCCCAATAAGTTCAAACCATGCCTTTATTCCTGGAACTCTAGACAAAACATTTACACGTTGGAAAGAAAAAGGATTAGTATATATAAGAGATTTATATGTTGATAATAAATTTGGCTCATTTAGTCAGTTAAAATCAAAATATAATCTTCAATCCTCTGAGTTTTTCAGATATTTACAAATAAGGGATTTTACTAGGAAAAATTTTCATGGTTTTGAAAATATACCCATACACCAGACACTTGAGAAAATAACAAAACACAGCCCAATAGAAAAAGGTACTGTCTCTTTTTTCTATAACTTATTATTGGATGAGGTTAATTCAAACACTGACAAAATTAGGAAAGAGTGGGAAAAAGAGCTAAATACAGTAATATCAGATGAGTCATGGGAAGATTATCTTTCCAAAATTCATGATTGCTCTATCAACACGAGACACAGACTGATTCAATTTAAAGTTGTTCACAGACTGCATTATTCTAAAGTGAAATTAAATAAGATTTTTCCAAATTCTTCCTCATTGTGCAACAAATGTAAAAACTCTGAAGGTACACTGGCTCACTCATTCTGGTCATGCCATAAAATTAGCTCATTTTGGCAGAGCATTTTTAATTTTATATCTGAAGTATACGGGATAAGTCTGTCACCAGATCCAAAATTGGGCATTTTCGGAGACACCTCAGAAATAGGAGATAAATATATATCACAGGCAGTATCTTTGTGTATGATATTAGCAAAGAAAATAATTTTACAAAATTGGAAGTCAGATTATGTGCCTGTTTTCGAAATGTGGGTTAGAAGCTTAAGTTTCGTGTTGCCCATGGAGGAAATGCGATATGGGATGATAAACAAACTAAACACATTTTTAAAAATCTGGAGCCCAATTATGTTCTATATCAGTAATGCTAACTTGTAACTCTTTATAAGTGAGATTGGTCTGGAGTAAATCGAATTGTGGAGCCTATGCATATCTCTGTAAATTATTTTGTTTCAAATTTAATTCTATTTATTTCCTTATGCTTTCTGGATGATGTTGTATTATGTTGTATCTGACTATTTGTATATTTTGAAATGGCCTTTGTAACCCCCCCTTTTTTTTTTTTTTTTTTTTTCTTATTTATTTATGTAGTTTTTTTTTTGTTGTTGTTCTGTTTATGTTGTTGATTATTTCTTATGCTAAAAACAATAAAAAGATTTAAAAAAAAATATATATATATATATTCACTCTGAAATAGCATGTCAGTTTGGCTTGCAGGCCGCCAGACAAGCACTAGTTGCTTTTAACACGAGAGAGGGTTCTTTTGCTGTGCTCGTGTTTAAGGAGGCGTGGTTCTAGATGGCAGAGGAGGGACTGCGATTCTGAGATTTATGCTAAGCTGTTAGCAATGTAGAAGATCACCTACTGCACCTTTAAGGTTACCCAAAAATTGGCATTTCAAACGGTGCCATTTTTGTAACCTCCGGACTCCACCGGACGCACATACTCACTCGGGACTCTCATGTAATGGGGTCTCCTGTGACTGATCTGGCTCCTCGCACTCTTTATCACTACAAAGGACAAACACACAAGCATTGGGATGCAGAGGTGGTGGCAAAGCATGATGGGTAAGCGGTGGGGTGTATAGTAGTGCACATGCAAGAAAGTGAAATAACACACTACAGAATGATGATATAGGATGAGAAGGGTGACATGATAATGAACTCAATACAGGTGATTGACGACAAGCACAGAAAAAAGGATATTAATACAATAAAAACACAATAAAGGAGACGTGCTTGGAAGTGTCAGCACTGAGGATGAAATGCTTAGCTAGGATACAGCAACAGTTCTGAGGTGGAAGACTTATCAGATGAGGATCCTGCATGAAGAAAATGTGTTTAATTGTGCTGATCTGAAACTCTACCTTGACTGCATGTGTTCCAGGACTGAGTCGCTGTCTGCTTTGTCTGGTGATGACACTGTGAGCGATGGCACTTGGAGTGTACTGACGAATGTTGAGGCCTACAAATGAAGACAACATATAGGGCAAATCATTTATTTATTGCCAATTACCTAATAAATCTAGTTAAGCCTTTAAATTGCACTTTAAGATTGATGCTATTATATTGCAAAATAATTAGCAGAATATTACAGTGCATCCGGAAAGTATTCATAGCGCTTCACTTTTTCCACATTTTTTATGTTACTGCCTTATTCCAAAATTGATTAAATTCATTTATTTCTTCAAAATACTAAACATAATACCCTATAATGACAATGTGAAAAATGATTTTCTGAAATTGTAGCAAATTTATTAATAAATTATATTAATAAAAAACCCGCCAAATCACATGTACATAAGCATTCACAGCCTTTACTCAATACTTTGTTGATGATTCTTTGGTAACAATTACAGCCTCAAGTCTTTTTAAATATGACACCACAAGCTTGGTACACCTGTCTTTGGGAATTTTCTGCCCATTTCTCTTTGCAGTTCCTCTCAAGCTCTATCAGGTTGGATTGGAACCGATTGTGTACAGCCATTTTCAGGTCTCTCCAAAGATGTTCAATAGGATTTAGGTCTGAGCTCTGGCTGGGCCACTCAAGGACATTCACGGAGTTGTTGTAAAGCCACTCCATTGATATTCTGGCAGTGTGCTTCGGGTCATTGTCCTGCTGGAAGATGAACTGTGGCCCCAGTATGAGGTCAAGAGCACTTTGAAGCAGGTTTTCATTCAGGATGTCTCTGTACATTGCTGCATTCCTCTTTCCCTCTATCCAGACTAGTCTTCCAATTCCTGCTGGTGAAAAACATCCCCACAGCATGATGCTTCACTGTAGAGATGGTATTAGCCTATTGATGAGCGGTGCCTGGCCAATGTGCTCATTAAACCTTAATTTAATCTTCCCCAGCCGTGTGCCTCGAGACAATCCTGTCTCAGAGATCTACAGACAATTTTCTTCATCTTCTTGCTTTGGTTTGTGCTTTAACATGCTCTGTTGACCCTGGGACCTTATATAGACAGTTGTATGCCTTTTCAAATCATGTCCAATCAACTGAATTTACAACAGGTGAACTCCAATTAAGCTGCTGAAACATCTCAAGAATGATCAGTGGAAACAGAATGCACCTGAGCTCAATTTTGAGCTTCATGGTAAAGGCTGTGATTACTTATGTACATGTTATTTTTCAGGTTTTTTATTTTTAATAAATTTGCAAAAATTTCTAATAATCTTCTATCACATTGTCGTTATGGTGTATTATGTGTAGAATTCATAATAAATTAATTTAATCCATTTTGGAATAAGGCTGTAACATAAAAAATGGGGAAAAAGTGAAGCTATGAATACTTTCCGTATACACTGTATGTACGTACTGTAATTATGGCAAAGACAAAAGACATTTGTTATAATAAATGAGTTATTATGCTATTGTAGTATAGTTCGTTGTTGTGTGGGAAGAAGAAGACAGGGTCGGCGATATCAGGTAAGCAATATATTTTATTTTGCTTTTCCACAGCACTAGCAAACTGTGCCCGTCTGTGCGTGTGTGTGTGTGTGCTCTCTCCTCTCCCGACTGCTCCTCCCGTTCTCCTTAAGAAGGGAGTCTCTCCGGCCCAATCACTAGAAAGACAGGTGTTATTTATCATTTCTGATTGACCCGCTGATTAGCCGCCGGGCTCCTAGCATGCTCTCCCCCCTGATTGGGTGTTTGATCACGCTTACCTCTCCACATACCCCCACCGCCCGCCTCAGGCCGGGGAGCCGTCCGGCCTGCAGCACCCACCCCCCCCCCCCCCCCCACCCCCCACCCCCCACCCTCGAGAGGAAGTCGGCTACAGCCATTTGTACACCCGGCCTGTGGATCACCTTGAACTTAAAAGGCTGTAAAGCTAGATACCAACGGGTGATCCGCGCATTGGTATCCTTCATGCGGTGAAGCCACTGGAGAGGAGCGTGATCTGAACAGAGAGCGAATTCCCTACCCAGGAGGTAATAGCGGAGAGTGAGAACGGCCCACCTGATCGCCAGGCACTCCTTCTCTATGGTGCTGTACTTAGCCTCACTCTTGCTGAGTTTGCGGCTAATGTACAGCACCGGCCGTTCCACTCCCGCCACCTCCTGCGAGAGAACCGCCCCCAGTCCCCGATCGGATGCATCCGTCTGTAAAACAAAGGGGAGAGCAAAGTCAGGAGCGTGCAATAGCGGCCCCCCGCAAAGTATAGATTTTACCTTTGAGAAGGCCTGTTGGCACTGCTCCGACCATTGGACGGTATCCGGTCCCTCCTTTTTAGTGAGATCAGTCAATGAGCTGACAAGGGCCGAATAATTAGGGACAAAACGCCTATAATAACCTGCCAGCCCCAAAAACTGTCTCACCTCCTTTTTGGTCTTAGGTCTCGGACAGGTTGCAATAGCTGCAGTCTTATCAATTTGGGGCTGCACCTGCCCGTGACCTAAGTGGAAGCCCAGATACCTTACCTCCACTCGCCCAATTGCGCACTTCCGTGGGTTGGCCGTGAGCCCGGCCCGTCTCAGCGCCGACAATACCGCCCTCAAATGTTGCATATGCCGCTGCCAGTTATTACTGTAAATGATGATATCATCTAGATAAGCAGCGGCATATGCTGTGTGAGGGCCGAGTATTTTGTCCATCAGGCGCTGAAACGTCGCCGGTGCCCCGAACAGCCCGAAACGGAAGCGTCACAAATTGGTGCAATCCAAACGGCGTAGTGAAGGCTGTTTTTTCGCGGGATATTGGAGATAAGGGGATCTGCCAATAGCCCTTCGTTAAATCCAATGTCGAGTAATATCGAGCAGCACCTAACCGGTCGAGCAACTCGTCAATACGCGGCATTGGATAAGCGTCAAATTTTGACACAGCATTCACCTTGCGATAATCCACACAGAACCGGACCGAGCCGTCCGTCTTAGGCACCAAGACAATCGGGCTGGCCCAGTCGCTGTGGGATTCTTCTACTACTCCCATTTTCAACATATTATTCAATTCTTCCTGAATCACTTTTTTCTTGTGTTCAGGTAGGCGATACGGCCGGGTCCTAACGACCACGCCCGGTTCGGTCTCAATATGGTGCTGAATCAGGTTAGTACGACCGAGCAGGGGCGAAAACACGTCAGAGTATTCACGTTGGAGGTGCCGGATGTCGAGGAGCTGGCTCGCTGAGAGATGATCGCCCCCGGTGACCAGAGCGCTCGGCCGTTCTCGGCCGGAGCTCTCCGGCCCCAGGTCATCCTCGTTAGTAACAAGCGTAGCCAGCGCCACGTCCTCCGGCTCCCTCCACTGCTTAAGCAGATTAATGTGATAAATCTGACGCGAGTCAGCCCTGTCCGAACAAACCACCTCGTAATCGAGATCACTGACTCGTCGTGTGACCACAAACGGCCCTTGCCACTTGGCGAGTAATTTAGAGCTGGAAGTGGGTAGCAGTACAAGTACTTTATCTCCCTGTGAAAATTTACGGAGTTTAGTGCCCTTATCATATCGCCGGCGTTGGTCATCCTGAGCCTTAAGCAAATTCTCTGTAGAGAGCCGCCCCAGTGTGTGGAGTTTTGCTCTAAGGTCCAGGATATATTGAATTTCATTCTTACTATTAGAAGGCTCGTCCTCCCAAGCCTCTCTAACAACATCCAAAACCCCTCTGGGCTGTCTGCCGTAGAGAAGCTCGAAGGGAGAAAACCCCGTGGAGGCTTGGGGAACCTCCCGCACAGCGAATAATAAGGGCTCCAACCACTTATCCCAATTTTTCGCGTCCTCGTGAACGAATTTACGGATCATTGATTTAAGCGTGCGATTAAATCTTTCCACCAGCTCGTCTGTTTGTGGGTGATAGACGCTGGTGCGAATAGATTTAATGCCCAATAATCCGTAAAGCTCGCGCATCGTGCGTGACATGAACGCGGTGCCTTGATCAGTGAGAATCTCCTTGGGGATTCCCACACGGGAGATGAGGCGAAACAGCGCCTCCGCAACGCTCTTTGCTGAGATGTTACGGAGCGCGACTGCTTCCGGGTAGCGGGTTGCATAATCCACCAGAACTAATGCAAACCGATGCCCGCGTGCAGATCGCTCTAATGGCCCGATGAGATCCATACCAATTCTCTCGAAGGGGATCTCCATAATTGGTAAAGGGCGCAACGGCGCTTTTGGGGTGGCCGGCGGATTTACCAGCTGACATTCACTGCACGCCGCGCACCATCTGCTGACGTCACCGTGAATGCCCGGCCAAAAGAATCGGGTCATGAGGTGATTTAGTGTGGCCGCCTGACCTAAATGTCCGGCCATAGGATTAGAATGAGCCGCCTGAAAAAGCATTTCCCGGCGGCTCTTTGGTACTAATAACTGGGTTGTATCTTCTTTTGTCTGAGCGTCTTGGGTCACTCGATACACCCTATCATTAATCAACGCAAAATACGGATAGGAGAGGGGTCGATCAGGCTGGAGGATTTTCCCAGCTGAGCGACACGTCCCCTATCCGGCGATTTCTTCTTCCAAGAAGCACCCGCACATAAAACTCCCAATAATCTATTAAATCCAGGCCAATTAGTTCCCAGAATTAGCGGGTGTTTGAGGTGCGGGTTAACTGCTACCTCTACTCTATGTTTTTTCCCTCGAAATTGAATGTCTATTGCCGTCAGCGTGTAGTGAATTATATCCCCGTGCACACACCTTACCCTTACCGTGCGGCTCATATCCAATGCCGGGTCTTGAAGCAGGCTTTGGTGGATGGAAGTCTGGTTACACCCCGAATCCACCAAAGCTTGATATGTACCCCCTTTTATACTCACTGGTACCCGGTATAGCCCGTTGCGACCGGGGGCGACGATTGGCGTGGCGGGGACGCGAATCAGCGCACTCGCCTCCTTCACGGAGCAGATTTTTGGTGCGCTATCCTCGTGCCTGCGACGCAAATGCATCGGCCCAGACCTTCCCACTATACCCCCGGGGCCAGCAGGAGCAACCGATTGAACCGGAGAGAATCCTGGCAGTGTCTGGGCAACCGCCAGGGGTCGTTGCTCCACCCCTCTGCCCGAATGGGGCCCCGCCCCTCTTGGGACGTTTGGCAGATCCGCCATTGCGCACCGCCGTCTGGGTGCAGGTGTGGGCGGTCCCCGCAGTCTGGGCCTGGGAACAGGAAGAGAGAGAGAGAGAGGGGGAGAAGAGAGAGAGGTTATTTCGCCGACCCTGGACCTCGCCACCAGGTGATTCTCCGCCAGTCGGATGGCCGTCTCCAGATCATCAGGCCGGTGGCACTGGACCCACTCCGATGTTCGGGAGGGGAGGCGGGTGATGAATTGCTCCAGCACCACGGCATCCACCAGTTGGGCGGTGGTTCGGCCATCCTGTACCAGCCATCTGCGGCAGGCGTCACGGAGCTGCTGGGCAAACGCAAAGGGCCGGCCGCCTTCAGCCAAAACCAGCGATCGGAAGAGCTGACGTTGCTCCTCCGGGTTGCGGCCGGCCCGCTTCAGATGAGCGTATTCCAGGAGATTCTGGGCCGGTAGCTGTTGTGCGGCGATCTGGGCTTCGCCCGAGAGCAGCGGGATGACTCGTACCGGCCACTCAGCCCGCGGCCAGCCACACGCCTCAGCCATCTTTTCAAAAAGATCCAGGAACACTTCCGGATCATCCTCCGGCACCATTTTCTGTAAGGCGATGGGAGGGTGGGCGGCAGATGTCGGAGCGGGCCGGATCCCCTGGGACAGCAGACTCCGGATTTGCTCGCGGTCCTCCCGCTGGGCCTCCATGAGGACTTGGAAATGTTGTTCCTGGATGTTCTTCAGTTCCACCAGCGTCTCATGTTGTTGTTGGTGGAGGACCGAGAGGGCCTGGATAGCTTCCGCAAATGGCATTCTTGACGGAGTGGTCATTCTGGCAGTGAGGCTCTTCTCCTTCCCCGGATTTCGGCACCACTGTAGTATAGTTCGTTGTTGTGTGGGAAGAAGAAGACAGGGTCGGCGATATCAGGTAAGCAATATATTTTATTTTGCTTTTCCACAGCACTAGCAAACTGTGCCCGTCTGTGCGTGTGTGTGTGTGTGCTCTCTCCTCTCCCGACTGCTCCTCCCGTTCTCCTTAAGAAGGGAGTCTCTCCGGCCCAATCACTAGAAAGACAGGTGTTATTTATCATTTCTGATTGACCCGCTGATTAGCTGCCGGGCTCCTAGCATGCTCTCCCCCCTGATTGGGTGTTTGATCACGCTTACCTCTCCACAACTATTATGTTTAAAATCTCTGTAAAACAACACTTATATTATTAAATATAAAAAAAAGGATTATTTCAAAAAGAATATTTTTACAGAAGGGCAACTAATTTTGACTTCAACTGTGTAAAAACAAAATTTAACTATTGTTAATTTTAGCTAAATAGGTTTAAGTAGTAAATTACAAAGTCTAAACTGAAAGAAATGAAAGCTAAAAAATGCTACCCATTAAAATAAATAGAAATATACAAATATTACTGCAAAATATAACACAACATAAATGGTAGTATAATATACTTGATTACAGCGCTGACAGATGCATTATGTGGTTCAAAAATGTTAGAGAAATCCTGTTGTATGCATCACATTTCAAGCATCCATCATCTCTGAACAGTAATATCTGAGGACATTCAGTCGCTCCATGACGAGTGAATATCTTGACATGACAGTATGAGCCACAGCTAGAATCTACATGCACTGCAAGTGTTCGATTTTGCCTTCAGCCTAAAAAAACACCATCAACACAGCTTTGCTAAACTGTCAATCAGCCATTGTTGCTCTAAATTAAGAGTAATTCTAGGTTGCGGTGCAGTGACTTCACATTAGCCACACCAAAACTAAACATAGTTCTGTAACAAGGATGCAAACTAGGCATTAAGAATGAATGGTGTGACCTCAAGGAAAATCTTACATGGTCTGAGATGTGAAGTGTACCTCATTTTGAGCTCTGGCAGCTTCCTCTGTGTACGCGAGCAGAGATTTGTCGGTGTCAATGGAGAAGGAGAGAGCGGTGGACATGGAGAGGGAGCTGTCGCTGTTACTCTCATCACTGTCTCCTTCTTTGACCTTTTCTGAAGACAAACACAGGGGACCATCAGTAGATCGGGACACGAGAACAAACACAGCCTGGCATTTATCAGCAGCACATTACCAGATTCAACTAATTGGGTGATTCCCAAGAAAATATATACAGGCCACATTTTACACCAATATCATAATATAACATTACATAATGCAAAAGTGTATGCTCTATGCTTCTGCATTTTCTAAGAGTCTTTATAGCTATAGTTTACAGTTTATAGTTACAGTGTTTCTATTAGAAAATCTTATATTGTTGCAATGACATTTATGATATATGACAAGATATATAATATAATATAATATAATATAATATAATATAATATAATATAATATAATATAATATAATATAATATAATATAATATAATATAATATAATATAATATAATATAACAAAATTAAATTAAATTAAATATAATATAATAATAATAATATTGCTCTATTCTTAACCCTAACCCTAGATAATAATGATGACGCAAATTCAGTATTAATCCACACAGTCGCAAAAGTTGAACTATTTTGAAAATTGATCGTGCCATACTTGTAAAGAACAGCTGATGGTGGCCATAGCAAAGACAAACGGCAAAAGATTGTGAGCTAAAAAACACACTTAAATTGGTAAAAATAGAAGCATGCGTCACGATTTCGACATGGTTTTAGATGCAATATGTGAACAGCCCACAGAGATTTAACCTGAGAGATGCAATACAAGCACTGATCCCTGTGTAATAAGTGATTACAAGCCACACAGATTGATTATAAGTTACAACACACTATTAAATACATATTTTGCACTACTACTGAAAACGAGGCAACCACTTTAATCACACTGATAGGTTGTCAATCATCAGAAAAACAACAGGAACAAATACAGCACACAGTTGGCTATACTGTAATATTGTTGTGAAAATAAACTTTAACTATATTGCCCACACTCGCATATCTGTCCATCTCTCAGTAATATTAATCTTTGTGTTATGATCAATCTTATGGTCCCCTTTGCTTGGCTAATGTTTAAAGGGAAAGGTGCATTCATGTTTTACCAGATCCGGCACTTCATATATGGCGATGTCTCGTATCGATGTTGATTCGAACACAAAACGAATCATTCATTCGACCCCAAGTCGTCTCTATTGTTTAAGATTCAATAGTTTTAAAAATAGTGCACTTTCAGATTTGAACCTGTGGATCTTTTCATTCACTTAGAGATGTGAAGGTCACTGCATGGAAGGTCATTTTCAAAAATCCATAATTGGGGCTCTTTAATTGTTATATTATGTACACCAGGGAGGTCCGGTGGCCTGCAGGGTTTAGCTTCAACTTGCCTCAACATACCTGCCTGGGTGTTTCAAGTATACCTAATAAGACCTTGATTAGTTTGTTCAGGTGAGTTTAATTAGTGTTGGAGCTAAAATCTGCAGGACACCAGACCTCCAGGAACAAGTTTGGTGATCCCTGATGTACATCATTAATAATTACATAAAAAATGTAAAAATTATTTGAAGTTGAAGAAATTAAATGATCTAACTTCAACTTAATTACACTGATATCTTTAACTGATTAAACATTAATTAAACTGTCCTTAATTAAAATGACAAAAGCACATAACTAAAACATATGCTTAAAAAACAGGTTCACAATAATAAGAAAATAAATTAACTTAATACTAAATACTGTAATAGTATATTAAATAAAGTCTGAAAAAAAGATTACTAATTAATCATCTGATCATAATCATTGGAAAAACAGCAAAACAAAGTATTAAGGAGAAAGCACAATTAAACAAAAATGCATGAGTGTGACAGCATTGTAACCACACTGATTACAGAATTAAATGTCTTGGAATGAATGAATACAAACGCATTTAATTCACATCATATTAAAAGATCAAGTAAAATAAATCACCTTTTCTCCCATGGGCTGACATGACCATCTCTTGCACTTTCTTGTAACGCATTAGTGACTGCCGCAACTCCTCAATCTTGCGATCCTACACAAAGAATATTTAGCAGCACTAAAAGCCAAGTTCTCTAATGATTTACAAAATCAAACAAAAAAAACTAAATGACCTAAAACTACCTTCTCCTCATTTGCCGCCATCAGCGACTCCATTGCCTTCTTCATCTTCTGTACTTCCATATCTGCAAAGCACAGGCTCAGTAAGCTGAAGTCCATTTCAGAAACACTAAATGTCAAAACATTAACTCTCAGACTGACATTTAACATCACATAAACTGTGGACAGACACGTCGAGCTGAAACACAACAGTGACCTTCAGTGACAATGTGAGAAACGTATACAATGGAAGCTGATTAAAGGGGTCATGAGATGTAAAATCAAAATTGCCGTAATCTTTTGATATATATGATGCCTTTGTTCCTTTAAAACATGCTGCAAGTTCATCACAGGGGTACATAGACTCCGCATCCAAATTATAAGCCCCGCCCATAGCCTATAGTTACTTAAGTGATTGAAACTTGCACCATGTTGTGTCACATTAAAAGGAAATAGTAATGATTAAAATTACAGCTGCTCTACACTGGAGACAGATGTGCTTTCATTGTCTTACGAACCAGGCACTGTTTAGACCAGTGAATTTCAACCTGTAGGCCGCTGTGCCCCAAAGGGCCATGACGCTATTGCAGGGAGGCTGCCAACTGTTATTAATAAAAATAACTTTTTTATTATAGCCTATGTAAAATTGTCTAGAATTTAATGTATTATGACTATTATGATATTTAAGTGACATGAAATAAATGATACATTTATAGTAGACGTTCATTATTCGGTTGGATTAATACCAACTTGTTAATTTAAGTTTTTTTATATGCTGAATACATGTCAATGGATCAAGTGCTCTAGTTCTCTGCTGGTTTTGACTGCTCATCTGAACTAGGGACTTGCACTAGCAAAACCAGATCCAAAATATGAGAAGTAAAATAATACTTATATTGATAAAGTAAGTTGGTGCAGGCGTTAAGATGCTTAAAACCTGCTTAAAAGATTGTTCAAATTATCAGTGGCATTCATTTTCAAAGGCAAATTTATTGGTATTTATCTATCTCACACAAGCAATGACAACACCCTTTTACTTGGAAAGCAGTGAGTGATAAATTGGCGCACACGGATGCCGGTTTCTCAAATAGTGAAATCAGTTTGGGATCATATTTGGGATTTAGATTTAATGCAAGTAGAGCAATGTAAACATTGCAAAGGTTGTTAGATTCAAATAACGTAGTGTAAAAACATTGTGAAACCAATATCCGTGCATTGTCCATTAATATAAAAAGCTTATCAGACATGGGTAGTATAAAGTAATATAAATAATGTATAGTTTTACACATCGGACTCATTCAAAGTAGCGTCGGTGCGCAAAACAAACGTTATGAATGCATGCTACACCTCCGACTGTACAGTGTGTTTTCTTCTTCTTATAATGCACAGAGTTTTGAGGTAAGGAACATTTTCATTTGCCATTCACTGGCAGTCGTACAGGCTCATCTAGTTCATCAAACTTCATCTTTTAAAATCTAAACCAAAAGCAGAATAAACAGCCTCATAACAGCCGGCATATCAGCGCGCTGCTACATTGGAAACATATGATTCGATTTGCGCCTTCCGATTGGTTCTCGGGACATAGCAGTTTTTGCTGTCAAAGGCAGGTGGCGTTTAGAGGCTTTTGCAAATAAACTGTTATTTCTGAATGGGCTGATGCTGGGATCTGAAAGATTTGAAGCAAAAATATATATACTATGTGCCTAAAGCAATCACTCAATATCAGTAGCTCATTTTTGGCGGAAGTGGCATTTAGCGTCTTATGCATCTGAACTGTACATACACTTAATTTTATAATGCTGTCGTCACTGAATGACAGTTTCATAAAGTTTCCTATGCAACGACATTAGCCCATCAAAACATTCTCCCTGTTAGTGACACACTAAAGAAGCTGCCCCTTAAAATTACAGAATTTTACAGAGTCAGGATGAGGGTTAAAAATAATAGTTTTTTTCAGACAAGTTTGTTTTCAAGTTTATATTCAACCTATATTTCAAGTTTTTCAACCTAATTACCATAGGTGAACCTCAGAAAACACATGAACTAAATAATGATTTAATAAATCCATGTCATGTCCCCTTTAAACGTGAGTGTTTGCAGCCACAGATAAAAGTGGACTGAGGTGACGAGGAGTGTGAACATGGGTTGCGGGCAATGCACTACTGCTGCTAATGAAGGGGAAAGAGGAGGTGAGGTGAGAAACTAGCTTTGGGGAACAGGAGGTGTTACAGTACGAGGTGACAGGCAAGAAACAAACAGACAATAATGTAAATATGACATGCCAGATGCTGACCACAATCTGACTCCTGTCAGAGCAACAACTTTAGATTCTCAAATTACTTTTGCCACTTTCCTAAAGCTAATATCTTGATTTTAAACCTATTAACTTCCTGTCAGACTGTAATATCTTGTGAAAAGCAAGCTTCATGCCCAAACATGCAGGCACAGGAAGCAAAGGACTAAGATGACAAAAATAGTACAAAGATTAAAAAACTGGTGGGAGAAAAAGGATGTATAGTGTATGGAGAAGGTAGACATGAAGTCCCCTTACGTTTCTCTTTGAGCCTCTTTTTTAATGTTTCCTCTGTATGGAAAACAGTTTAAGACAGAGTAATGATATGACATTTCTTCTGTTATTAAATGTGTTTGAATAGTAATGCAGAATGCATCAAATCTGAAAAGCTGAAGAAAAAAAACAACACTGAAAAAACGTGTGAATGAATAAATATATGAAGCAGGTTACACTTTACAACAAGGTTTAATTAGTCAATGTTAGTTGATGTATTTACTAACATGAACTAATTATTACAAATACTTGTACAGCATTTATTAATTAATCATAATTCAACATTTGCTAATAGTGTTATTAACATTCAAACTCATGCTTGTTAACATTGGTTAACCATAAGTTAACATGAAATAACATAAACAACTGGAATTTCATTAACTAACATGAACAGATCCTGTAATAAATGTATTGTTCATTGTTTGTTCGTGTTTCCATTAACTAACATTAACTAATACAACCACAGTGTAAAGTGTTACCATAAAGCAAAACATAGATCTAAACAATACAATAAGATACCAAGCAAAAACAAATAATAATTATATAACTAGAATACAACAAGCATACAAACATAAATAAATAAATTATATATCTAAAGCAACACAGACAAAACCTGAAATAAAGAGAAGAAAACAGCAAATATCTAAATAAACAGCAAACTAAATAAAACCTATAATAATTACATAAAACAAGGCCAGTGCAAGTGAAAATGGGGGTCTGTTCTTTGTAAAAGGATCACTCAGTTAGCTGGATTTGGTTTTTAATGATTTGGGGGGCTTCCAAAAACCAAGATAGGAAATGAAGTTAGGCAGGACATTTATAGTAGTTTTAGAACGATCTGATAGGCTAGCTAATAATTAGCGATAGGGATCAGCTGTAGTCCCTCATATTACATGCTCTTCTCAAAATTAGTTTGTGAAACTTCACAAAGTTAAAAAAAATAAACAAAATAAACTTCAAAATAAAAGTCTTTCCCCAAGGGGTTCAGAGAGAACATTTATTAATATGGACTTTTTAGACAAACACATATTTTAAGGTACCGACCCAACTTTAGTACAGATTTAACAAACAGTTTACTTTGAATATTTTTGTCATTTTGCACACATGGATAATTGAATATTCATCAGATGATGTCATTAGGCTGCTGTCACAATGTTGCAATGCAGCTAATCGATGCATTGCCGATCATTATTTTTGAGGATCGATAGAGCTGTCCTTCACAACACACGCAGTGATCTCAGATCAGTTCATCCAGACATTTTAATCTGATTCGCAAACTTGTTTGAAGAACCAAATTAGCCAGAGATCAGTTATCAAGATTAAAAAAAATCAAAGATGATTTGGCAGATCTTGGATCATTTACACGAGGTACGAAGAAAAGACCCCTGGGGGGGAAATCCACATCAAACAAACAAACAAACAAAAATAACTAAAAAAAAATAATGCTAATAATAAAAAAAAACTACAATTAAAACATACAAACCAAATTGAAAAAAATGAAAAGTGCAATAAATAAATAAACAATCAAAATCACAAAATAATAAACTTTTATAATAACATCACTAACTAAACCAACAAACTTAACAGGTGAAAATGTTAAAAAAAAAAACGTGAACTAACAAAAAAAAATCTAAATCAACAAATTAAAGACATACTACTTAGAAGCTACTACTTAAGCACCGCCTACTCCAACATTTGTCTCAAATTAGTCAGTACAGAATTACATATACAGCATAATCACAAGACAGCACCAGGCCTGCAGGGCATGCTGGGACAGGCACCACTTTGATTACGGAGTGTGAATAAGTGTGTCTGTACGTGACCCACCTCTCTCTGTGCCGTCGAGGCCTGCGGGCGTTGAGGATCTGGAGCCGCTCTCATCCTGCAGCCTCCGCAGATCCACACCATCTCTGCCCTCCTGCTGCCTCCTCAGTGAAACCAGCTCCTCCTGAATATTCAAAACACACACACGAATCTCACTGTGCTGAACCCACAGTCTGGACCTCCAACGCTTTATAGGTCAAGTACAACCAAAGCATGCTGTTACTAATTACTATCAGAGAGTTACAGTACACTTTGCATGCAAAACGTAATTTCTCCAAAAGATATACATTTATAAAAACATAATGCATCAAACTTATGGCTAATGACAAGTATTATTATTATTTTTATATTATTTATGATATTTTAGGCTTATTATGATATACATGCATAACAGCAATAGTAATAACCTATCAAAATACTAATAATTAAGCAACTAATAATAATTATTATTAATTATGATGATTCAATTCTAATAACAATTATTATTATTATTACTACTACTACTAAGTAGTACTTTATAAATAAAATGCAATCAATAAACAATTTTCAGATATTATCAGATTTAAAAAAAAAATAACAATAATAATTTCTAAATAATATTTTTTTAAATTTATAAATTATAATTGATAAATATTTAGAATTTAGAATATTAATCATTCATTTTCTTTTCGGCTTAGTCCCTTTATTAGTCCGGGGTCGCCACAGCGGAATGAACCACCAACTTATCCAGCATATGTTTTATGCAGCGGACGCCCTTCCAGCCGCAACCTATCTCTGGAAAAAATTTTGAAATAATAATTGATAAATAATAATTTATTAAAATATAATATGTAACAAAACCACTGACTTCCTATTTTATTCATATTTATAACTATTATTATTTATAACTATTATTATGTGTAACTATTTTTATTTTTAATTTTAATAATACTATTATTACTATCATTACTTTTATTTATAACTATTATGAACAAGAATCGTCATTCACTGAAGAGCTCCAAACACTGCTAAACAATTTCGAGTAGTTATTATTATTATTATTATTATTATTATATTTGATATTAATTAAAATATATTTGCACAATACCAATAATAACCAATAAAACAAAAATAATTATTTTTATCATGTTTACGGATTATAATTAATAACAAAAATTATAACTATTATATTACTACTACTACAATGACTTTAATATTAATAATTAATCAAAATATAATGTTCAAATCTAATGGCTTATTATTTTATAATCAAAATCTAATTATTTAAACTAACAGCTTTTATTATTATTGTTATTATTATTATTACTATTACTTATGATCAGCATTCCCTTAAGAGTTCAAAGCATTGGCAAGACGGGAGTTTACACACACAGACACACACTAGAGTAATGCAAACCTCACACATAGCTGTTTGAAGCATGCAACGCAGCTACAGTAGGAAGCAAGCGACCGAAATAGCTTCTCCTGCATTATAAGGCTGTCTCAGCTTAAACATCATGTAGAGCCTCGCACTAAAGCATACTTGTGGTTAATTAAACATGCTGAGATCTTATACTGGTGCCACTGCTTAGAGATTTAATGAGCAGCTTTTACATCAAGATGAAAACGTCTGTCTGTAGTCTCTACATAGAGCTAAACAGAGAACTTTGGAGAGCATTTCTTGATTCTGTAGTGACGTAAGCAAAAGAAACTCATCAAATAGTGTACTAAGAACATATTTGAACACTGAATGTTAATAAAACAGTAAATCCAACCACTGTTTATTTATTAAAAGTGCCAAAAACAAAGTTACAATGAAGGAAAAAGGGTCTCCGGATCAAAACCACAAGCAGAAACCAGGCTGAGGTATGCAAACCTTGAGTGCCTCGATTTTTTGTTCCTTCCTCTGTTTCTCATACTGCATCTGGCCCATTTTCAGTTTCAGGCTAGAAAGTTTGGCCATTAGCGACTAGAAGCACAGAGGTTAGCCAAAGAGGAAAAAGGAAAATAGACACTTAAAGACAACAAGAAAGGTGACAGGTTGTGCAAGAGAGATAAGAGCAGAAGAAAAACACTTGAGGATAAAAATTAAGAGTATTGTTATTTTCAGTAGCAAGGAGATATGAATATGGATAAGATACTAACCTTAGTGGATTTCAGTTTCTTTTCATACTGTAACCGCTCATTCTCCATCTCAGAAATGCGATATCTCAGTTCATTGATCTCCAAAATCAAACCCTAAAAAAAAAACGAGGGAAAAATTAATCATTTATTTATTGCCACATCAGCAACTTATGGTTATTTCATAAGAAGAATAATATATATAGGAACATATAATAACAACAACAATTTTCTACATCAATAAGAGCCAATAATAAAAAAAAAAAATAATAATTTGACGTTAAAAACATGATTTTTTGTACGTTAAATTACTTAAATATTTGGTAAAACTTTATTTTAAGTCACAATTCATGCTATTAACAAACCATTAACTAAGGCCAAGTTTACACTGTCAGGACTTGATGGCCAATTCTGATTTGTTGCCTTTATCTGATTTCTTTTTGCCGGTCTCTTTACATGTTCTTTTAATTGTGACCCATATCTGATTCCTGCGTTTACACTTGCCATACAATTTACGACATTGCGTTTGCGCAAATTCAAAGTCTCTTTAGTCTTTGGTAAGGCCGGTTCCAGCATCTGCGCCACACTAGTCACGATGAAAGAAATTATCTTGCTTTTAGCTCTGCGAAATATGTGAAGTTCGCCCAACTTTACAATGAGGTGGAGAAGAATATAAAGGGCTGTCATTGCAGCTTCCGCCTATGATAAACCATATGTGTCCTCCACCATTCAGAGGATTTTGTAGGTAAGAGAGAAATCTCAGGTCTGGTGGGAGCCAATTGAAGCAGGCTTTAATGAGAAGCGGTAGGTCCAAAATTTAAGAATGAGCACTCACACGCTCTTTCTTCTACGTCATTAAACTATGGAAAATTACCACAATGTTTAATGACGTACAAAACGAAATGCCTCAATAAATCTGATCTGGCATACGAGCAAAAAACAAAAACAAAAAACAAAATTATGTCTCATTTAACTGGCAGTTTAAACAGAATCTAAGGCTATTAGATTTAGCTAAATAAACAGCTAATTAGCTTCTTATTAATATTTTGTTGATTAGGGATGTAGAATAAAATCGTACTTTATAACTACAAATTAATAATACTAATTACCATTACTAACTGTTATTATCGCAAAAGCAGGTGATAAACTAGTTGGTAACAGCATAAATTGTACCTTAAGCTAAAGTTTTACCAAAAATTCTTAATGGAGAGACATTTAGGAAAAAATATCTATTAAAGCAGTCTCATTATAGACCATTTTGAGGGATGTAAACAAAAACAAGAGAGTTGTTTTACATGAAGTTATGATTGAATTGCCTCTTGTTACAATTATGAAATAGTTTGATAACAAGCAGGAAATGTTCATGAACCAATGACATCACCACATTGAAATGATCTACAATATCCTTGTCCATTTGTCTTGAAAATTGTTCATTTTAAAAAATGTTTTATGGTGATGGACACTCCACAATCTGGACAGAATTCAAGTGTACGTCTAATTTAGGCAATGCAAGTTTATTTTTATACAGCACATTTCATAAACAATGATAATTCAAAGTGCTTTACATAAACAAGAAAAAAAGAAACAAGTTTAACAAATAAAAACAATTAAAAACAGATTAAAATGTTTTAAAACTAGTTTTAAAGAAATAAAAAAGACAATTATTATAATATTATAATAAAATTATTATAATTATAATAATTATATTATAATAAAAGACTTATTTTAAATAAATTATTTAAATGAACAAAAATTCATTTAAAAACTGTTTTGTTTTAATAACTAAATAATTAAATGTGAAATAACTGGTAAATGAAAAAAAAATAGAGTAAAAGCTTGCAACTGCACTTCCATTGGTATGCCATCAAATTAATTTAAATAAAACACAAAACAATTTAAAATAAAATGATCATGGCCATATTCCTTAACAACCTGATTTAAAAAGCTTCAGAGAGCAGCCTAGATTTCACGTTTGAAATGGTTTGTTTAGCAAACACACTAAGTATTCAACCTTTAGAAACGCTTTACGAGGGAAAAACAAGAATGTACAGTGATGAGCTTCTGTTCAGCATTCAGGCCTTTCGGGACAGAGCTTTTTGTCAGGATGTCTAGCATTCAGTTGTGGATTTATAATTCAGTAAACAACAGAACTGCCTCCAGTTGTAAATACTGCTTAAAAGAAATCTAATCTGATATGTCCACTGAGCAGTGATCTGAAAAACATAAGGACACATTTTTGGACTGTAGTTCAAATGTTTGGGGTCAGTAAGATTTGATGGTTTTACTCAGTGTAGGATTAAATTGATGAAATGTGACATCTAAAAAAAAACTATTTTAAATAAACGCTAACTTTATATTTATCAGAGAATCCTGAAACAAACTAGGGATGCAACGATCAACCGATTTCACTATTAATTCAATTTGTTACGGTTAATTAATTGTAAAGGCTTCTTAACACCGTGTTTCTGCACGGAACAAAACTGCTGCAACTAAACAAAGCCAACTGTGCACTAGTTCAAAGTTTCAAGTTTGCACACAGAGGCTACTACTATACGCACATTGGATTAACTATGGCTGAGGCTATTAACCAAGGTCCATTCACATACTGAGTCATTTGCACACGCAAGTTTGTTATTTATAATGAAGTAGTGTGGCTTGCGAGCGATTTCGGGAGGGACGCTCACAATTTCCAGGCGCACCTAGTTAAAGGATTCTGCGAGCGCAACCCGAGTCACAGGACAAGAACTGAACAGTGAGCTTCATACTTTGATGGAATATACAGAGTTTTTACTACAAAAAGAAAAAAAAAAAAAAAACCAAATAATTTTGTATTGTAGTTAATCAAAAGTGCCTTTCAGTGAGGTTCAGCAGCCTTTGACTACATTTGTTCTCTTTAAAAGGGAAACACTTAGCTAATATGATGATTAGATTAACATTTGACAAATGCATTTTTTATTTTATTTATTCATTCATTTGTTGTTTTGTAATTTATTTTTAGTATAAAATTATTACTTATGTTTAAATGCCCAAAACTTTTTTCACCTACTTCCAAGAAATGTACTATTGTTTGTTTTTATTATTGTTTTATGCTGTATTTAGTTATAAAGCAAAAACTCTAAAGAAAAAAACATTTAAAATAAAATGAACGAATCACTCAAGAACCAACCATCACTAGCCTCTACATTGTTGTTTGTCTACAACCTTAAAGCAGATCTTGTTTTCTTGTCGACATTTCTATTTTCCTTTCAAGGTATTTTGTTTAGTGATTAGTTAGTTAAAGAGATAAATAACACTTCAAAATATAAGGAGTTTTCATGTGATTTTCTAAACTAGTAGTGTTTTGAAATTGATGAATGCATAATAATCGTGATAACCATAAAATTCCTCAGACTATAATCATACAATTAAAATCTATAATAAATCCATCCCTAAAAAAAAACCACATCACTTTTTACAAAATATCAACACTGACAACAAACTTCTAAAGGATTGTGTGACACTGAAGACATGAGCAATGCTGTATATAAGCGTTTATATATAATATATATTTAAGCGTGACCAATAAATATAGCAATGGTAACCAAAAAAATGTAATAATTTTAGGAACATTTTAAATGATTTTATCCTAAACATTTTACATTTTCAGATTCAGTACTGATAATGTTTAAAAAAATAAAAAATAAATAAATCAAAAATAGCTTATTATAGTGCCAGTCCTTAAAAGAAAAAAACTGGACATTTTAGGAAACAAAAGCAACCCCGATCCTTGCTGAGACATTAAATTATGTGGAAGTTAAATAACACAGGAAACAGCAGAAGTCATTTATATCTTTGACAATTTTGTTTACCAACCTAGACCAAAATTACTTGCCAACTGAGTGCACGGTTAACACAACAAATTATCTGTATCTCTGCTCTAGAATTTTCTAAAAAGAATGAATAACAAAATCACTTAACAACATGCCTTGAAAGGAAAGCTATGTCGACAAGAAAACAAAACCTGCTTTAAGGTTGTAGACAAACAACAATGTAGAGGCTAGTGAGTGATGAGTGGTTCTTGAATGACTTGTTCATTTTATTTTAAAATATTATTTATTATAGTTTTTGCGGACATAAAAACAAACCCATCATGAAACAATAATCTGTGCAAAATGTAAAATAAAGCATGAAACGAGAGAAAATGGTGACATACTAGACATATATGACACAGCAATGGATGTAAGTGAGAAAGACAAAAAAATAAAAAAAAAATAAAAAACTCAGAAATCTTCAGAAATTAAACAACACTATTAGTCTTTGTGGTGTTTTAGAAAAAAAAAGACTGGATCCCACATTTTATTAAATTTTGCAGAGTTCCCAGAAGAGAAGTTGTTTATTAAATTCTTTCCAAATGTGAAGAGGAGGTGAGTCCAAGAAGCCAATCAGAAAAAAAAGAGGCCTAATATTTTTTAAAGATTTTTATGTCTTAGACGAAAATAGTTTGACCTGAAGGTATGTAAAATTAGTTTATTTTGGATTAATCTTTTATGTGACTTGAGAACGGTGAGTCCTCTCAGGGAGTGATTTGTTCACTTGCATATGCACACATTGTGCAGATGGGGTAGAACAGTGGTTCTCAAACTGTGGTACGCGTACCACTAGTGGTACGCGGGCTTCCTCCTAGTGGTACGCGGAGGAATCGCTGAATAATGAAAGAAACAAATAACACTTTTAATCCTTTAATGCGTAATATAACATTGATGTGATCAGCACTGGCTGTTTTGTGAAGCGTACGACCACAACGCTGTGCTTAGAGTGTTTATTTTAGTGCATTGTGTCATGAGCTGCTGAAAATCAGTTTCCGAAGTTTAAGAATTGATTCTGAAGCGTGATTTGACTGACATGAAAAGTGGCCAATCACAGTCGACCTTGTCTAGTTGCGTGAAACGTAAGGGCGGGACAAAGGCTTTCTGTGTTGCAGAAAAAACTACTTAAAAACAAATGTTTTGTTGGAATAATGCTTCTCGGATGTTTTCACTACAGAGATGTCTAGCAGAGTAATTAAACCGCGGACACATTTCCTGCCTATTTGATGATCTTCATACACGTTTCGCTCTCCGACAGCTAGTCGACTCGCCTCTGACCTGTCACTCCTCTAAATACATTCTGAATGGCGGCGCGGGAATGAAGGTATTGCGCAATTACTCATTTCTGCAAATGCGGCGAGTGCTTTATTTTAACACGAGAGCGCATTCATGTACCCAAATCGCTAAAACAGATATGTGAGCTCTTAAATAGGCTTTTTTCAAATGAACTGCAAGTCCTCTCAGGATCGCCTGTGTGCTCACATAGAATACAATCGCGATCTCTCCACTATTAAAGTAGACATTATTTATCTTTGCTCCTTGACTAAATTTAGTCAAAAGTATTCAAAGTTATCAAATATTTAGAAATAGATTGATACATGATCGATGACAATGCTAATGGTCTTCTTATTTGGCTGTGTTGTGAAGTGAAACTTACTTTTAGCAAAGGTGGAACATTTTTTTATTTCTTTACGACAAAATAATTATGCTGGAAATGTTTCTGGATGAGGTATTTGTGTGATTTATACATTTAGCTGTATTCTGATCCGTCTTAAAGCATTACAGGTCAAAGCAATCCATTGTTAGCCTACTTATTGTTTATTTATCACAATTTACAATAAGGCTCTTAAAGCACTGCTTTGATAAATGTAATGTCGTCATATTTCAAATACCTCAAGTAAAATGAAGTCATTTGTTTTATTTTTTTACTGACAGTGTACTTGTATTTTTTTACGTTTCTATTTTAGATTAAGATCAAGTGTAAAATAAAATCTACATGTGATGTACAGTTATTTAAGAAACAAATTTGCCATATTGTAAAGAAAATAGTGTAAAATATGTAAATAAAAGGCTAAATTTAAATCTTTTTACCATATACTTTAATTTAACCTTTCAAAGCTTAAAAATATATATTTTTAAAAATGGGCAAAAAGTGTCTCTATGGCCTTAAAGATTATTTGGTAGTTTTACCAGTGCTGTTGAAAAAGATTAATTGTCATGAAAGGAAAAATTGACTATACTTCCTTTGTTAGTGCAAATTATACATGTAGCTTTGGGATGTAAGCAATCAAACCATTAAATCAGGTTTACACTTAAAAAAAGTGATTTCATAATGAAAATCTGATTTTTTTTTCAAAAGTAACCAACTAGTACTTTTTAAAAGAGTAATTTGTACTTTTACCTAATATTAGTATTATTTACTAAAAAAAAATTTTATTTTAGCAGTGTAATAGTATTTTTACTTGAGTACAAAAAAGATTTCACTAGCACTTAGTGCAGGTTTATTATACTATTAATATATGATTAATAAATATTATTATTAATGGTTTTTATTTGTATCTATTCCTATGCAATGTTTTATGGGTTGCTGAGAATACATTTCAGGTCTTCAATACATAGCATGTCAGTCTTGAAAAAAAAAAAAAAATAGGTGCTGGTAATGATTTTCATTAGGCTGTGCCTGTATGAACCCTGTCATGTACATTTAACATTTATTTCAAGATTTGTCTTAAAGTGTATGAATATGACATATAGCCTATATTTATAGGGTCCAAGCAGCATTTCCAGCTTTTGATGAATAGGCTACTATGAATACTTTAGATTTAAGTACAGCAGTTTTCTTTTTACTTTTTAAGAACAGCGCCATTTTTTTATGAACTTTTAAAAGCACATTTTAACTAAAACTTTTTTTTTTTTATCTGCAAGCACAGTTAATGTTCAGACTATTTCAAATTTTTAAAGTGACTGACAATAATACATATTCTTACTAATAGGAAGTAATCTGCATCGTTTTAAAACTGTGCACACCTGTAGCTGCTTAATTAGGCTTACGACGCTATTTTTTAGTACTGGTTAAAAAATAGCGTCGTAAGGTGGTACTTGGATAGACGATTTTTTTCTAAGGTGGTACTTGGTGAAAAAAGTTTGAGAACCACTGGGGTAGAAGATTAGTTCCTTTCAAGTCTTCTACTGGGTTTGAGTCATTTGTTCAAGCCAATGATATGAAGTCAGAGCCAGAAAAAGATTTGATCTGTTCATTTCTGGAATCCTTGAATTTGAGTTTGATGAAGACTCGAAAGGATAACTAATCATGGGTCCTTTCAGCTCAGACGATGTGTATTGGTTAAGCATATATGGGCCTAGCGACACAGTGGCGCAGTAGGTAGTGCTGTAGCCTCACAGCAAGAAGGTCGTTGGTTTGATCCTCGGCTCAGTTGGCGTTTCTGTGTGGAGTTTGCATGTTCTCTCTGCGTTTGTGTGGGTTTCCTGCAAGTGCTCCGGTTTCCCCCACAGTCCAAAGACATGCGGTACAGGTGAATTGGGTAAGTTTAATTGTCCGTAGTGTATGAGTGTGTGTGTGTGTGTGTGAATGTGTGTGTGGATGTTTCCCAGAGATGGGTTGCGGCTAGAATGGCATCCGCTGCTTGATAAGTTGGAATCATACGCAACTAAGATTATTCAATAAACTCTGCTCTTTCTTTATCATCATTACTTTGTCTGCTGCTTCTGTTCTTCTGTTTCTCCTATGTTGATAGGAGATTAATTTAGTAGAATACAGGTGAACAGGTTTAGGTACTGAGCAGCTCTGCTGGCTTGTTGTCTGGGTTTTCTGACAGGATCTGGTTTCCAGGACTAGATCTTATTTTTATCTTAGATGGAGAATGATCTAACACTGTGAACAAAACTTAAATGTTGGTAAAATGATCTGAACTTACCGTCACTAGTAGAGACACAAACTTAAAATATTTTTCACCATTTGTTGAAGAATTCTGAATATATTGATAGCAGCTCTTGCTAAGCCTGCTATGGACAAAAAACTGAAAGCCACCCTAGACAACAAACCAGCTGGTTTGTAGTGTGTACGATAAGAGTCTGGTGACTGTATTTGGGCCACTTTGGCAGGAAGTGCATTTCTAAACCAAACAAAGCGCTCAAATATGGTTTGTTGTTTATCGAAACTCACTACTGATTAAAATTCTTAAATAGTTTTAAAGAAGTCTCTTCGGCTTAACCAATCCTGTATTTATTTCATCCAAAGTACAGCAAAAAAGTACAAATTTGAAGAATTTTTAATATTCAAAACAACTGATTTCTATTTGAATCTATTTTAGCATGTAATTTATTCATGTAATTATTAATTTCCAGAGCTGAATATGTTTTGCATCATTACTCCAATCACATGATCATTTAGAAATAATTCTAATATTTTGATTTCCTGTTCAAGAAACCTTTATTATTATTATTATTATTATTAATATTATTATCATCATCTTTGTCGTTTTAAAAGAGGAGTAATTTTAAAGAAAGAATGATCCAAAGATTAGCTAAAAAAGCTTTTGTAATCAATCAAATGCTTGGAGTCACTATAACCTTTTAGTTAAGAAATTATTACTTTAAATAAAAAAATAATTAATTATTAATAATCATATATTAACAACAACAAAAAAAGAATGTATAATTATAAAAAAAAAAAAAAATCACAAAAATAAATTAGATTTTTAAATATATTTAAATAGAAGAAATTTATTTTACATAGTACAAATCTTTTAAAATGCCACTGTTTTTCTGTACTTTAGATTAAATGTGTTCAGGCTTGTGAGCTGAAGAGACACAGTAAAGTAACAATTTAAATTGGCTAATTAAAATACTTCAGTCAACTTACTATTTTTGTTTTCGACTGTAATATTTTAATGTTGGGATGATTTTAACCATGCATGCTATGCTTTTTGTAGTAATAAACTATATTTGCTTTTATAGCTTTTGATTTGAACAATGTTTCAATGGTCAACATTTGGCAGGAGGTAAAAAGATAAAACTAAAACAAATAAAAATAGAAAAAAATACTTATATGTATACTTTATGTTGCAATGCAGCCAAAAAAATTGAGATATCATTTTCGGACCATATCACCCAGCCCTAAAATCCATTCCAATAGATCCCAAAACCCTCTAAGTGAAGACCCTTCATACTCCCTAACAACCACAGCGGCACCTAGTCTTTAGTGGTAATAACTACTTTCTAGAAAGAGAAGAGGCCACCCAAAACCAATTTTTGGAGAGGAAATGGTATCTGGTAAAGGCTGTTTTTTGCATTTGTCCAGACAGCAAACAAAGCAGACTACAGTTCAAAGCCCAACATTCCAGTGCACTAGAACAGATCGCTGTACCACAGCATGACGTGATTGGTAGATGTCCGAGCGCATTGTTGAATGGAAGTCTTTCTGCTTCAGGCTTGTACAGAAACAAAAGGTTGGCTATACTGCCAAATCACGATTGTAAATAAACATTCAAGCCATTTTTCAGGCAAACTGCAATATGCTAAACAAAAGAGCTCTGTGCACCAACGGCGGAATCACAAATTAATTAATGACTAGCATTACAGCCATTGACATTTTCAAACAAAGACGTAATTACATAATTGTTTCCCTCGTGCATGTTTCTTACCTCATCTCCGAATCTCTCATCAAAATCAAGTCTCTCTTTATCCATTGCTGCTAACTTCAGTTTCAAATTGGACACTTCTGTCATCAGCTCTAGCTTTTGTGTCTCCAATGCTGACCTGCACAGGAGCTCCTTGGAACACAAGTTAAAAAAAGGTACATATTGAAATATGAACAAAGGAAATATACTCATCAGCCACTTTATTAGGTACAACTGTCCAACTACTTGTTAACACAAATTTCTAATCAGCAAATCAGATGGCAGCAACTCAATGCATTTAGGCATGTAGATAGTCTGGACGATTTTGCTGCAGTTCAAACCGAGCATCAGAATGGGGATGAACGCATATTTAAGTGACTTTGAACGTGACATGGTTGTTGGTGCCACAGTCACCAGAGCTCACTCCAAAAGAGCACCTTTGGAATGTGGTGAAACACATATCATGTCAATATGGACCAAAATCTCTGAGGAATATTTCCAATACCTTGTTGAACCTATGCCATGAAGGATTAAGACAGTTCTGAAGGCAAAAGGGGGTCCAACCCAGTTCTAGTAAGGTGTACCTAATAAAGTGGCCAGTGAGTGTATGTATATAGATGAATTTTATGGACTATTTGCATGTAATTATACAGTATAGTGAAAGTATGATAGCGCAGAAAACCAGCTCCATTGTGCACCCAACTTAATTCTATCATCGATAAACGGATTATTTCTGAACTCACCTGCTGTAACATTTCTTCAGTGGCGTTTAGTTTTTCACGGTGTTCATCAAGGCACAGGTCTAGGTCCCTTATTTTTTCTCCCTGCGCATCCACTTGATCCGTCAAAACACTCACCTTTAATAAGCAATGAGCATTTAACTGAGGCCTTATTTATTTGCTTATCTGCAGTACTGTTCAAACACTTGGGGTCAGTAAGATTTTGTTAAGAATAACATTATTAGTTAGCAACGGTGTCAATTTATTAACAACATTAAGTCAATTTTTATTTATAATATTAGTAAGACATTTATTCTTGAACAGTTCTCCAGAATAAAATAAGTAAATCGCAGTTTCTGATGGATCATGTGAGACTATTGTTAAAGGTCTACTAAAAATTTCGCACTGCCATCACATAAATCAAGTAATTTTTTTAATTTCTTACAAAAGAATAGAAAAATAGAAAAATTAATAGGATAAAAATCTTGAGACCTCAAATGTTTGATTGTCTTGTATGTGCATGTATATTACAAATTACCTGAAGCACAAGGGATTCTTTATCACTTTCAAGACGATTAAGTCTGTCCTGGTAAACATCACCAGAGATGGAAATGTGTCCATTTGACTGTTCAAAATGCCAAAACATAAATATGTATATTAGAAATTTTCTGAAATCCAGCCTTAAAACGTTTCAAAACAAAACATTCTACGAGAAAAAAACTACAAGTTGTTTTGTAATTCAATAAAACTAAGAAAAAAAGGGTCTGTTATTATTCAAGGTTTTCATGCACCATTTATTGTGCCGGCTAAACGTTAGCATTGGGTGAATGAACATAATACCATATTTAGACAGTTTATAAGGAGTTTATGTCTTGACTTTCACTTGGCATTTCTTCAGTCTGTCTCAAGACACACAAGAATAATGCTTCTTGGATCTGCAGTAACATTTACTAAGAGAATGGGGAAGGTTCTTAATATGCAGCACTCTTAATATGAAAAAAGAGCTAATGCATACACTGAAATAAAAGATTTAAAGATGATTCCTTGGATTAAATTTTTTTCAAGTTAAGTGGTTGTAAATAATTTTTTTGGGTTGAATTTAAACAAACAAATTAAGTTGAACATTACTAAATTTAATTTGTTTGTTTAAATTCAACACTTTTGTTTTGTATTCAACATTGCACTCATTTTTTTTCAGTGTACGGTGCTTAGCATTGGGCTATTGTAGCTAAAAACTAAAACTTAAAAACTATAAAAACTAAAATTTTTGCTGCATTAAAGACAATGAAAATTAAAACTACGAAATAAATATTATAGTTCTAATTATATTATAATTATCGAAAAAAAAAAGATTTTCAACAAAAAAAACAACAACAACAAAATGACTAAAACTTAAACTAAAATAAAAAAAACAACTATTAACTACCCAATTTAACTTAATAAAAAGATAATTACTTGATCATACTAAAATAACATTAATTATACTATACAGGCAAACAGTAAAAAAACAAACAAACATGATGTCATGATTAAAATGATCTCCTCAGACCTAACAATAACTACATATACAGAAAATGCCTCTAATGCTTCTAGCACTTTGACTCTGACTAAAAATACACTACATGCTTTTTGACAACTATAAATGTAAGACGTATAAAAATAACCATGTGCTTCCTCTCAACATGGCAACACGTAGTATGTTAGCTCATGTTCATGTCTAGAGTAGACGCAGTGAATTCCAGGGTTGTGGAATGTGGTTTACGCACCAGGTGACCATGCAGCCACTCCACCAAACTGTCTGCGGTGGAGTCTGGGATCTGGCAACGCAAGCTCTCTCTCTCTTCAGTCTCCATGAGCTCCAGTATGCCCCTCAGGTCCTCTAGTAAGTTTAGCGCTCGCAGGCTTCCCATGAAGGGCGATGTCGGGGACTGACAGTCAAAGATGCCGTTGGAATAGTCCAGAGCCTTGGAGCCTGAGTGCCAAAAATGAATGATCAAAGATATAAAAAGGTATTTCACTGTGAAGTTTCAGGTCTTGTTTTTTTTATTTCTGAATAACTGAAATCTAATTTGATTCTCACCTCTTCCCGACTCTTTCCCTACCATAGTTTTTCTTTTTAATGTCAGATTCATTGTTTTAGCAGTACTTCTCTTTATGATTTGCCTGATGTCTTCTGTTTAAGTCTATTTGGATTAAAGGGGTGGTCTACTATGATAACATATTTCAAGCCTTAGTTGATGTGTAATGTAGCTGTGACATTTCTGAACGTAATATGCTCAAAGTTCAATGCAATGGGAGACATTGCCTTTTGCAGAGTTAGCTTATAAAGCCTTCAGCAAACAATTTTGGGAACAACAAAAAAATACATCTGGGTTAGTGAGATAATAAATGCTTTGGGTTACGTGCATACACCACGCTGTAATGTCATAGCAGAGAAAGCTAAAATGCCATCCAAACGTTGCTATTTCCACAGAGCTTCTTTTGTTTCTGTATGTGGGCTTTCAAATGACATGGCACAAAGAGAGAAGTGCTAACAAATCAATTTTAAATATGTTGCAGAGAATTAAAAAATACATAGAGCTAGCATTTGACAAAGGACAGCGTCCAGAATCTCTTCCAGTTCAGTGCTGGATTCAGCTAAAACTTCTCAAAGGAGCAGCTCCAACCATAATAGCAGAAGCTGTGAATTGTAAGCCACAACCTGTAAGTGTTTTTATTTGTTAAAATTTATTTATTACAGGCATAGTGTCAAGCGTTAACGGTATGTTGTAGCAAGGAAGTAAAAAAAATATATAAATATATTTATATATATGAGAAATGCTGTTTGGCACCTTTAACAAATTAGCTACAAATTTATATTTCTGTCTGATTCAGGCTCAAACTGATATGGCTAACAGGTTCTCTGACCGACAATATTTAAAGAGTAAAAAAACAAGCAAATGTAACTACAGCCACATTACAAACTTTATAAGTTACATTTTCAACCTTAAGCAAATTTGCAATTCTACATTAAAAATTTGTGAATAAAGTGAGCCATCCAGTGAGCCAAAAATCCTCACTTTCAGGTAAGTTACTTACTAATAATAATAATAATAATAATAATAACTCCTTACATTTATATAGCGCTTTTCTGGGCACTCAAAGCGCTTTACACAATGGGGGGAATCTCCTCATCCACCACTAGTATGCAGCATCCACCTGGATGACGCGACGGCAGCCTTTTTGCGCCAGACAGCACACCACACACCAGCTGATTGGTGGAGAGGAGACAGAATGATGATATGCCAATCATGATATGGGGAGGTTTAGGAGGCCATGATGGACAGAGGCCAGTGGGCAGATTTGGCCAGGATGCCCCTACTCTTTTTCAATTTTTAACGACCACAGAGAGTCGGGACCTCGGTTAGTGTCTCATCCGAAAGACGGCGCTCACTGAGCAGTATAGAGTCCGTGTCACTATACTGGGGCATTAGGACCCACACAGACCACAAGTTGAGCACGCCGGCCTACTGACTATAAAAATAATGATTCAAATGAGTGCATATACATACATGTATTCTATACCTTATCTGCTACCTTTTTTTTTAGTATGACCTTGGGTGATGTTTCAAGCAAGCCGTATACTGTTACCAAAATGTGACGTATACACATTGCTGACCACTGATTGGTACGAGAGAATCATTACATCATTATGAATACAGGTTAATTTATATACATATTTAGGGGTAAATATTGATTATGAGCTTAATTGGCACTCTCAGGAGTCAAGCGATTACACTTTTTACGCAGACTAAGATTATTTGGAGTGAGTAGCAGAATAATGATAACTTTTTATAAAGCATCAATAGAGTCTATTTTAAGATATGGGAATGGGATTATTGTTTGGTTTGGGAATCTGACAGTAAAAATGAAAACCCAAGTAAATAACCTGATGAGAGTGGCAGGAAAAATAATGGGAATTAAGACACAATCCAACAAGCCAACAAGATTTTATTTGATTCTTCACATGTGCTGTCTTTGGAGTGTGAGCTGATTAATTCTGGCAGAAGATACAGGGTCCTGTTATGCAAGTATAATAGATATAAACATTCTTTTGTTCTTTTTTAAATTAAATTGGTCAATGAGCAAGTAGGGTAGGACGGTCAAAGATTAAGATAACTGGATTGGTTTGCATAACAGAGGGCAGTGGGGGCACATTGTAATTTATTTTCATATAATTTATTAATTATTGATTTTATGGAATCATATTTATATTAGGAGGTATTTTAGGATTCGATTTTTAATGTGTATGTTTAATATATGTTGTCTTGTTTGTGTCTATGTACAGCAGAGCTTTTTTTCTAAAACAAATTTCTCCTACGGGACACAATGAATTTTACCATGATCTTGACATTGATTACTATAGCATCGTTAATTTATGAATGGAGAGAGCAAACCTGCTATATTTAAATATTCAGCAGCAGCCACTGGTGAACTGTTGGTTTGCACGACTAAACTGGTTTTATACCACCAAATGAAAGACACATAAAACGGGAGCATCATGATTAGCGGAAAAGGTCCAGATGTGCCTCTCCAGGACAACCAAGAATGAAAATGTTTTTCAGAAAGTCACAGCAGTAAAAGTGTCACAACTGCAGTCAAAATCCCGCAATTTATAAATGGTACTAGACTGCTGTGGAAATGCAAATCAAGCCAAGCTAAACTTAAATGAAATGAGCCGAATCGTATCATACCTGGTATGCAGTGGAAAAACAGCTTTGGTTTTTTTTATTTCTTTCCATGTGACATCCCAAAGTTGTGTTTAGCCACATTTTAGCACACTGAATGCATGAGCTTCTGAATGAAAAAAAAATGCTGCAGGAAGGATAAACTGATAATCATGATTGCAGTGGTCAAAAGAATTATCACACTGATGCTATTTAAGAATTTTACTTTTAAACTTCATCAGAATTGTTTTTGCATCTTCACCTATAAATGCAAATCAAGAGAAAGTTGAGAATAAACTTTTAAGACCTCATCTAGTTTTTGATTTATTATAGACTATTAATAACCATAATAATAAGCATTTTCCACATTATGAAATAGGGTTGTGTACGTATACTGATCTCACGGTTCGGTTACAATTATCATGCCATAGATTCGATTCAATATCTCGGTGCATCACGGTGCATTGACGATGCTTTCCATACATAATTAGATTTTATCTTCACAATACAAGAGTTTTTTTTTTTTATTAAAATCTATAAATATATTAATATTTATATATTATTTGTAATACAATTTTGTCCTTTAATACAAGCAGCACGATATATGAACTGTACTTTAATTTGACCTGCTCAAAGAAAACACTCTTTTTGAATGTTTCAAACAAAACACCAATACATGCACAGAAGACAACATGAGCATTTATAGCAAATAATAAACTTAAGTAAATATTATCCCGCTTGCTTTTTGAGCCCTGTCAAGCCCTATGATTGGTCATTGTCTTCACCCGCTCCACAGAAAGGGCTGCAATTGGCTTTAGAAAAGAAAGTGCTGTTCACCGATGAGTGACGCAGGAAGAACAGCCACGGTTACAGTCTATATGCGCATAATACAGCGGTTATCACGGGTAATCCATGATAGACACAGTAGAGAAAACTTGCACCACTGGAACGCTCGTGTCTGGATCCACATGTATCGCTTTAACAGCCAAGAGGAGAGGAAAAGTTACCTCATAAACGCCCCAGCGGTCAAATGTCCAAAGTGAGAGAGAGGCAAAGAGAGAGAGAGAGAGAGAGAGGCAAAGAGAGAGAGAGAGAGAGAAAGAGAGAGAGAGAGGCAGAGAAAAAGAGAGAGAGAGAGAGAGAGAGAGAGAGAGAGAGAGAGAGAGAGAGAGAGAGAGAGAGAGAGAGAGAGAGAGAGAGAGAGAGGCAGAGATGGATATTTACAGCATTTCTCTCTAGGAGTGAAATAGCGGCTCGTGTGCTGTGCCTTCTTCAGTGTAAATGAAAGATTTTCCAGCAAACTCACAAGCAAATGAACTGTGCATAATTATCTACCTTTTAAGTAGTAGGAGCGTTTTATTTACTCGCCCTCGCCTCCTTCACCACAGTATTCTGCTGCGACATCGTGCACAGGAGATAAATGCTGTCAGTATGTAATAACCGGTTATGATCTATTACTGAACTGATAACGAATTGTCCCTATGTGCATCACAGTGCACAGAAGAAACAATTAATTATGAAAACTGCTAAACGACCTCTCTCAAACATGAAGTGTGTGCGATTGTTTATCAGAATACACACATTAAGAGAAACACTGGTCAGAAAATTCACCCTTTTATAAAAACCTTTTTTTCATTAAACATTTTGATAATAAAGTATAAAAATATACTGAAAAATATTTGGTACATTTAAATACAAAATATGATATTAAATGTATTACGTGAATCTTTACAAGAGTGAACATTTTAAATCGAGCAATCATTACAATTATCATGTACTGGTAAAGGATAGCATGACCTTATAACAAAGCATGCTGCGGGGGAAGAATCAGAATCAGGCCAGAGTAAAGGCTTTAATTGCTGAAACCTCTAGAAATCATGTGATCAGACAGGCGGCTCCAACTTCAAATGTCAGCCTTATGATAAAGCAGTGATGCATTACTTCATATGCCAGATCACTTTGTTCGCGTGCTAAAATCTGGCCAATCTTACTCTCTGTAAAGGTTTCAGCAAATCAGCCTGACATTTGTTTTTGTACCAATGCTGACCATATCCAATCTAAATAGAATAGACATAATCACCACTGTAGTGAACTTATTTGTCAGATTTAAATGTGTAGTGACAGTTGCGTAGTATATAGAAAGGATGATTCAGGACAATGTTTAATTGCAAGCGCTGAAAAGCCTGCATGAGTCATAGCATAGGTAATAATTTTACCTGCTATGATACCATCCATTTGCTCCAAGGCAGCTGCCAACATGTCACTGGCATCAGACATCATCTTGTTGAGCTCTGTTAATCCTGCACAAGGGAAAACAACAAAACAAATATTACAGCCTACACAACTTACAATGCAAATATGTGCTCTGAAAATGTATTACTGAAAACATTTCAATGACTTTAGGCACTGAGAAACACTGTCGAAACTAAATGTGTTGACAAAGTGTAGCTTGTAAGACTCAAAAGTCATGTTTTTAAATGCTCGGGCAAGAACTACATTGAAAACAAAAACTGTAATAAATTAAAACTAACTCTTTATGGCCTGATTAGCATAAATAGACAAATAAATAAAAGGTTGGTATTATTTATATTACTATTTGGGGCTGCACAATATATCGTTTCAGCATCGATATGGAAACTTGTGTATCCACATTAGTTATGCGCGCATGTCTGTTATTTCAGCGGGCGCTGCGGATAATCCACGGGTCGTGTGGATTGGGTAATAAAAAAATATATTATGATTAATTGCTTTTCCAGAGATGGGTTGCGGCTGGAAGGGCATTTGCTGCGTAAAAACTTGCTGGATAAGTTGGCGGTTCATTTAGCTGTGGCGACCCCGAATTAATAAAGGGACTAAGCCGACAAGAAAATGAATGAATGAATGATTAATTGCAGTTGGGTTGCGGGTGGATGTAGCAGGACATGGCAGTGGACCAGCAAAAAAGCAGAGTTGGCTTTGCAAAGTGGGAAGATAAGATGCCCAAAAAAATAAATGAAGTACAAGAGTACTGTTCAAACTTTCAGTTAGAGGAGTCATCAGAGGTAAATCTGCTATCGTTCTTGAGAAACAAGATCGCTTATTTACACGACTGTAGCGCCTTGCAAGGAGAATATTGTTTATTCCTACAAAAAGCGGTGAAAGCGAATGCTCATTCAGTGCAGCTGGCTGCATTTTGGAGTCAAGGCGGTATCGCCCGAATTTAGGCACTGTAATGCTATTCGGTTTTTGAACAGCACAAAGAAAAAGGCCAAGTGAACATAACATAGCTGCCGTTTAGGCTGAAGTAGCACTTTTTTGTTATCTTCTTTCTGTATCTGCAAAAGCTACAATGTCTTATTTGTACTTTCTGTATTTGAAAATGAAGAAAATGTTGTCCAAAGACAAACTTTTGTTTTTATAAATAAATATTCATTTAAAAACGTTTACGATTAACGTAGGCTATTATTTTACTATCAGAGATGCGCAGATTAGCTCACTGAATCTGCTGTCAATATCCAGGTGACCAATCATCATGCCTAAAACAAAGAATTAAAATTATTAAAGTGACGATCTGCTGCAGGTCGTGTGCGGAGATATATTTCAGATAAAAGTATTTGTGCGGGCGGATGATAAGTATAAAGCCGTGGATTTGGTGTCATTTCAGCTGACCCGCGCATCTCTAGTCCACGCGCATCTTTAGTCACATCACAGGATATGCAATGTTTAGTTGGGATTATAGTTGCTCAGGACAATATGAGAATATGAGATTTTTGGAGTTATTGCAACATATAACCATAAAAGAGTGAAACTTTATCATTTACATATGTTTTAACAGCATTTCAACAGAGCTTAGAGCATTGAGGCACAAAAACGTACAATAATTGCAACTTTAATGAGGAATAATTTTACTGAAATATTAATACAATAAAGACTAGACAGTATTTTTACATTTTATTATTCCATTTCTGTACCTGAATACGGTTTGACTCTCTGGAAACCAAAAAGCACTGTTTATTTGACATTTTTCTTTGCGCTACTGTAATAATTCTCCCTTAATGCATCATTTACACCCTAACAAAAATCACCCAAATCAATATAAAAATGCAAGATTTCTTTCCAAATAGAGCTATTTAAGCCATCTGGTAAAATTGTATTAGCGCTGCACAACCTATATTGTATAAATAAAAATTTATGTTATCCAAGTATTAGCAAATGCAAAATCTGTAACACAGAAAATTGTGATTAATTATTGTTTGTGCAAAATATTTGTGTGTTGCATGTCTTGGATGTTAATCAGACAGGGTGTTACTATCCTTGACCTCACCATCCCAATAGGTGCTTTTCTGCTATTGGCAAGAGAAGCCCAAAAGTGAACCTAAAGCTGAAAATAAATTCCAATGGAGGCAGTTGAAATAATGAAAATCATAACAGTCAATAAGAGTCAGAATATCAGTCATTAACAGTGTTTTAAAGTCTGAATGTTTAAACCTTGAATTTTCGTTGTTGCCTAAATTAGGTTTAATAAGATCAAAGAAATATCTATAACCCGTTTATTTTAGTATAATCATTCCACATATTAATGACATTTAAAAATAGCTAATATTGTTGGCGACAACAGCCTAGTGTTCGAGTGAGCTGAAATATAGCACTGAGGTGCTTACGGCAACCCAGGTTCAATTCTTATCTTGATGTTCTTTGCCGATCCTTCCCCTCTCGGTCTCCCTCTCTACTGTCCTTTCAAATAAAGGTGAAAGTCCATTTTAAATTTCTCAAGGGAAATGTTATATTTAATGTTATATATGCATGAAATATCAATGGACCCTTTTTCGAAGACTGTTATGACCTGGTGAACGGTCATCATAATCTTAAATCCTTAAAAGTTTTTAACATTTAGATTTTTTTAAGTGTATGTATATTTATATGCTTTTGTGAAAGTATTGTATCATCTTTGCATCAAATTAAAAAAAAACTAATTACCGCGTGCGTGAGGTTTTTCTAATGCAGTGTCTATGAGCAGGACAGTAAATCTGACATTAATCTCTGCCGTTATCAGTCTCACACAATTTTGATGTCTTGAACACCATTGTGGAGTTTTTCTTTCATTATTTCAGCAAATGGGATTGTAAAAAATATATTTGTGGTACTCTCCCATTCACTGTGCTCGAAGTTTACTCAACAATGACAATGCTTTCTGCTACACTGTAAAAACAAATCATGTTGCCAAAATTTTTTAGTTGACACAAATTAACTTTCCTAGTCATCTTAACTACTACTAGAGTTAAACTGACAAAAAAAAATTACAGTGTGTATATATATATATATATATATATATATATATAATTTACAGTGTACTAAGAAACACAAAAATGTGAAGAGTCCACATGCACAAAAACTTATCAGTATTTTTCCCAGTATCAGGCAAGTTTAGTTGCTATAGCTATGGCTATATTTTAGGCATGGGCCAGTATAAGATTCTGACAGTATGATAACCTTGGATAAAATTTTTTTTTAAAAATCACAGTTTCACGGTATTGTGATAACTTCTCTAAAATATATTCATTTTTTTAATGTCTGGATAAAAAAAAATTCCCCATTAAACACAATATATTTATTTTGAGAAACATTTATAATATTTTGTAACGGTAAACATGTCAGGCTAAATAATTTTATAAATCACAGACTTCTGCCGTGTTCATTTGTTTCAAAAACACAGATTTCTTTACAATTTAAAACAGCATCTTTGGATATCTTTTCTGCTGGAGAAACTGCTGTCCTAAAAGACAAAAAAATCTTACACATACCTATATTATTACAGAAAATAAGGTATTACAGACAATTTTGGTGGTTTTAAAACCTTGACTTTTTCCAAACCGCAGTATACCTTGAAAAAGGTTATCATCCCATGCCTACTATATTTAAATAATCATTAAATATTAATATTTTAACCAATTCTATACTTTGTTTAGGATTAAACAGGTTAATGCTGAAAAGAGATGATATGAGGTTTAAGTAGTAGGTTTTATGTTTGGTCAATTAAGTGTGTGGATAGTAACAATTGTGATGTAGAATCAAAATCAGAATCAGTTTTATTGCCAAGTGTGCTTCACACACACAAGGAATTTGTTTTGGCTACAGAAGCTTCCAGTGTACATAAAGTGACAAAGCAAAATAAATATGAAAAAGACTATAAACATTAAACAGAGATGCAGTTTCCATCTGTGTCTGCTTTCTCACAAAATATAATGATTTGCTCAGTAGGCCGAAAGCAATTTTTTTTATGGCTGTTAAACCACAAGTGTTTTTAAAATGAGATGGAAATCTGAACAAGTCATGCACTTTTGACCTCTGGAAATGGTTTTAAATGGACAACCACAAAACACTTTATATTTAGCCATATTTATCCATCAACTGTATCGAAAATTCATTCTCAAGACAAGTGAACAAAGTATGAATTTCATTCTGCTAGTGACAATGAAGCTCTTGCAGCTTGAAAATGAATCTTAAACCAGGTATAATCAGCGAAAGTAATATCAAAACTAAACTTCTAAATCTTGTATGGAGCAATGTTTTCATCTGGATGGGGTCTCCCTGTGGTGGTTCCTTTGGGTGAAAGGTTGGCTGGTTCTCAGCTCGCTGCTGTTCCCCGGGTAACACAGTCAAGCTCCAACCATTAGCCACAGATTTTAAAGAATAACTGAGCCATTTATTTCAATTATTGGCACAGTGCTTGTGTTGCTGCTGGGGACACTGGGTACTTTGTTGGGGACTAGCTGGACACGCTGTTAGGCCTTGCTGGCTCGTGGCCCGAGAACACAGCAGAGGCATTCTTTAAGTTTTAATCCTGAAAACAAGGAGGTGAAGAGACACCCTGACATGTTCTGAAATCCCATCCACCACTGTTGATGATTATGCTGTCTGACATAATGCACTTACTAACATAGCAAGTCAAAGGTTAAATTCAATCCAATCATAGACTGAAAAACAGGGAAATTGAAATAATATTAAATAAATGTGCAGTATTGCTATTACTCTAAAATAATGTAAATATAAATTCTACCTTCCAGACTTATATTGCATAGTTTACACAGTGTTATTGCATTGTGTATTGTTATATGTGTATTGTGTCAGTGTTATTAAATTATTTTGCAAGCCAACAAATCAATCAATCGATCAAGTTTTGTATTTTTGTTAGTGGTGGGCCGTTATTGGCGTTAATGTGCTGCGTTAATGCGACTCTTATCGTGCAATAAAAAATATAATCGCCGTTAATCTATTCTCAAAGTTGGTTTTGGGAGCCGGGTCTATTCTACACAAGCTATGA